TGCTCGTTCAGACTGGTGATGCATAATTCGTTGCGTCGCATGACAATTCATAATAATGCGAAGAGGGAAGAGGTTCGTCTACGCTTCGGCACTTCTGCTGCTTGTTGGAAACGCAGTTGTTGCTTCTAAGAGTCTTTTTGCCATCTTCAACATTTCTAGCACTCTTCGGTGCATGTAAAACTTTCTATGCGACAAATCCCACCGGAGACTCCATTCGAGCCGTCTGAGCAAGAGAGAACCGATTCGCAGAAGGGTTCAGCAGCTCCTCTTGTCATCCATGGAGAATTCTGATCCTCACCCGCCCATGATGAGGCGGAGTGTGACTCACTCAAATGGAATGCACCTTTCGTCCTCCTCATCGTTCTTTCCCCCCTTCGCATCTCTCTCTGTTCCCCGAGCACAAGCATTCCTAACATTTTACGATATGTGTATGGGGGAATAAAGGCTTCCAGTGGGACGGAGGATGACCCCCCCCCCCCCCCCCCCCCCCCCCCCCCCCCCCCCCCCCCCNGGAAGCCCCCCCCCCCCCCCCCTCCCCCGAAACTCTTCCGGAGCCAAGAGATAAATGCATGCGTTGTGCAACGGGGGAATTCTCACGGGGCTATGGACATTTGGCGAGAGAATTCGAGGGATGCGACGGGGTGCATCTTTTGTATCGATGGCCTACTCGAGCCGTGGGTCCGTGTTTGCGGAGACCCGTCACTAGAGGCAGTCACGCGGCCTTGTGTGCTCTGCCATGGGGACCGTGGCTAATCCTCGTCTGTTTGCCTTTCCCACCCTGAAGCCTCTGTTAAACTTCTCTTAAACTGCAATGAATCCGCCATTGGACTTGCAAATCTCGCGTCTACAAACTTCTTCTCCATGAATATTCCAAGTGGGCCTTATATAGAGAAACGACTCCGTTTCCAAGGGTTCTCTCCCGCTATTGCCTCCCGTTGGAGAGTGTGGGCCATATGCAGGAATATCATGGAATAAAATTTGGACGAGGGGATGGTGATAAAGGTAATATAAGGTTGTTACCGAACCGCGCGCTGACCGATTTTCGTTCTATTCGTGATCGTATCTCATTGCCGACTCTTTCGCGGAATGAAAATGAACCTCTTAATTTCAATTATTTTTTCGGCTCCGGACCCAGTGGACTATACGAGTATGTGAATGGCAGAAACTTCGAAACCGGTGCGCTATCCAGAGAAACCTATAGTTCTTAGTTCATTTAAAATTGTGAATTTTTTTAAACTAAGAGGATGAAACCAAGAGAAGGAAACCTGGACGGTGGAACGGAGCAAGAATGAAAGCGTCAATCGGGGGGGGGGGGGGGGGGGGGGGGGTAGAGAAACCTATAGTTCTTAGTTCATTTAAAATTGTGAATTTTTTTAAACTAAGAGGATGAAACCAAGAGAAGGAAACCTGGACGGTGGAACGGAGCAAGAATGAAAGCGTCAATCGGGGGGGGGGAGGGGGGGGCGGAGGAAGCAGTTCGTTCCGGTTCCTGGACTACATCACAATGGGTTTCTTTCTCATATCAAGGCAATATCTCATTCCTTCTGATGTTGGTCCCAGTGACTTTGAATGGAAGTAGTCGACATCTGGAACGGCTCTGCCGGTCGTGGCATTTTTGTTCCAATATACAGCTCCAACTGTATTCCCTCTATTGGTGGGGGAGAGAATCATTTAGTTTTCTTCTCTCGAGGCAGGGTGCGCCCTTGCCAATGCTTTCCCACTTTGCCCTCCAAAATATTTTGCAGAACTTTGAGCAGGGATATCTGAGTCTTCGATGGATTTCATTCAGATGGGACAGATAAAGTATGCCTGTCCCCCCCCCCCCTCTCTCCCGTCTTGGAGGGGTCGAACGGTTTGCCAATTGCACGAAGCGAACTGGATTCCAGAACGGAACGATAACAAACTTATTAAAAAAAAACGAGAGACTCCAATCCAAGCCTAACTGAACAGAACTGCCGGTGGAACCGTAAAGAACGCTAGTTAATATTGAAAGTAGTTCGCACCACTGCCCTTACCTCAAGTAAAGCCCTTTCTTCTCGTATGAGACAAGGGGGGTTAACTTAACCTTAGATTTCACAACGTTGATATTGTCGACTACTCCCATAATAATTTCTATGCAAAATAATTTCTGTGCAGCTCTTTGGAACGCAACTAAAACTAGGTCTGTCTCATCTGAGAACAATTGCTTCGTGAAGAAACGGACAGTTCAGATGGATAAGCAGAAAACTGCAGTTAAGCACAATCTTGATGTCTCTAGAGTGTGACTTTATTGGATCTTCATGTCATTTTTACCCACGGTCTTTTGCTTTATGAGAATAATCGTGAAACCAATGGAACGACAACGCCACGCAAGAAGAGGAGTCTGTACGAAAATCGCCCAGATTCCAGATTGTCCTGGCGAGTCCGTTCTCCCGAGAGAACGACTTCGCGGTTTCAAGCACACAATCGCCTTAATTTCTCCCAACGATTGAAAAAAAAACTGATTCTTCTAAAAATGTATATTTGTGGTGGCAAAAGTAGGGACACGGGGCTATGTAATATCTTCATACAGAATGAATAAGAATGAATAATTCATCATCATCAGTCCCATGACCGCATTGGTCGTAGGGGCACTGTTGAAGCCACCGTCATCACTTCTTTCCACCTGTCCCGATATTTCGCTTTCCACACCAACTCTTCCATCCCGCGGCCCGTCCATGCCTTGATGTTATCTGCCCAACTTATTTTGGGTCTTCCTCTCTTCCTGTTGCCGTCAACCGTGCATTGTAGAACTGTTTTTGCAAGACTTCCCTCTCTTCGGCAAACGTGACCAAACCACTGTAACTTCCTGTGCCTCACGATCGCTATTGTCGTCTCAATTTCACCTGTCTTCTGCGTGATTTCTTCTCTTACCGAGGCGCTTGTTCGGTGTGCTGTGTATTCTGAGCAGCTTCCGAAAGCATCTCATCTCAAACGCCTCTATTCTCCTTTCGAGTTTCTTGGTCAATGTCCACGTCTGGCACCCGTAGAGTGCTGTTGCCATGATGATTGTTCTGAGAAGGCGGATCTTCGACTTATCTGATATCCCTGTTTGTCCAAATGGTCGTCAACCTGGTCAGTGTACTCGTTGCCATTGCTAGTCTAGTCTTCACCTCGCATTCCGATTTCCCATCTTCTGTCAGGATTGCACCTAGGTACTTGAATTTCTTGCCTCTTTCCATTTCTTCCCCGTTTATGCATATCCTAATTTTGGTGGTGTTGTCACTCTTCCTAGTGAATAGTAACTTGCTTTTCTTCGGCGCTGATTTCCATGCCGTATCTTCTTGATATGTAGTCCAGTCTCGTTGTTAGTTCTTCAACGTTGACGTTTTTGCAATCAGGTTTATGTCATCTGCGAAACGCAGGTTACAAATGTTCCTACCACCGATTGTTACTGTTCCCTCGAAGTTGTGTAGCGTTTCTGTCATGATCTGTTCGAGAAACACATTGAACAGATAGGGCGATAGCAGACACCTCTGCCTGACTCTGACAGTTGTTCGGAACCAGTCGCTGGTGGTGTCTCTGACCAGTCCGTGTAAAGACAATGAATAATTGCTACCAAAAGAATTAAGGAACATGACTCAGTTTCGCTTTTGGGCTGATTTTCAGCAAATCACGCAGATGATGCATTATAACGCGGGAGATATAGCACAATACCAAGAAGGTACTGACTTCACGATCGGACCTTAAAGCAGACCAATATGGACGTAAAGCCCACACCAGATAGATTGACACAAGTGGTAGTTTGATCCGTCAATGGTAGGCCAATCATGCAAGTGAATTTTTTTTTTAACCTGTCCAAGGGCTTCTGCAGATGCATGCTTATTGGGTAATATCCCTTACCTGTTTTGAGGGGTAAGCCTATATCAAACATGAATTCTTGACCTTGATAGTTGATTTTCACAGTTTAATAATGAATGTGACTATATATACACACATGATTTTGGTCTTGAAAAGTGTAGCAGCTGCATGGTGAGAAAATTGTTGCAATTTTTTTACACATTAGCAACAGGCTTCTGTAAATAAAAAACTCCAAGGTGTTTATTAATTTTTTAGTTGGGTACTCCATGTCAAACTCTCAAAAGCAATTTTGTGAATATGTGATGCACATGTAAGAAAAAAAGTTTTCAGTGTTTCTGGGTCCATATTATTTGACCACATCCTACAGCAATTTTCATGAGGTTAAAAAGAAATAAGACCAGGTGCCCATGAATATTTATTTTCTGTACATCCTATAGTTTTGGTACATTTTTAACAGGTTATGCATTCAGAGTAACTTGTGCTCATGCAAATATGGAATTATTTAAACTCTCCCGAGGCTGTAATATTATACTTGTTTATGAATTTTTCATGGAGGAGTTTGTTATATGCAGCACAAGTGTAGATGTGATTGATGGGTCCTTTCATCCTGATACTTTTTCTCCCTGATTCTCTTTTGTCTTTATGATCACTTCTGAATCCTGTTTTTTGAAAATCTTTTTGGGAACACTTGTATTTTATTACTGTGGTAACAAAGTTCACAATCTTGCAAGAGGACATGGTGCCCATGGAAAACACATNCCCCCCCCCCCCCCCCCCCCCCCCCCCCCCCCCCCCCCCCCTCTCCTTAAACCTTTCAAGGTGAAATACCCGAAAGGCCACAGGCTGTTCATGGGCAGCGGCAGCGCCATACACTTGGTCTTAAATTCCGGCTGGCTTTCTTGAGACACCCCCATCAGATACTTGGAATTAATGTGCTCAATGAGTCGCAGAAAATCTCTTGAAAAACGTAGCGCATTTTATTAATCGTATGTCTCGGATGTCATTGCTTTATTCTTCCTGAGATGGACCCCTGTGCTTCCCATTATTCTACCTATTGAGCGATTATGGTGATTTCAGATCGACGTTTGGAAATGAGGGATCGCAGATGCATTGAAATTCTTCTTTTTCTTCGAATTTGGGCATTCTTATTCGGAGATGAACCTCCCATTCTCTTCTGTGTTTCACCTCCCTGGGTCCATATGAAGGGGATGGGGATAGGCACCTCTGTACCCGCTGCAAGACATAAATCGACATACAAATATACATTATAACTCTAATAAATAAATAAATAAAATATATTATAGCTCTTACAACGCTCGTAGATAGTTAAAACTCTTATTCATACTAATATGTCACCCTTCATCGTCCGATATAATATCATGCTGATGTACAGCATTACCCCCTCTGAAGCCCTCTCGGAGATCCCACCTGCAAGAGAGATCCGGGAGAAGGGGACATTTTATAGATGATGTAGACGGGAATGCAAGCCATGGAAACAGAGGCTGACAACCAGCCCAATCCAACTGCCCAATCCGGGTATACGTAGTCACCGTAGGTCACTCTGATGCTTGACAACGCCACTGTGACGAACACGGCCTAGATGAACGGTTTCAGGAGACAGAACTTATTTCATTTAGGGGAACCTTTTAAGCATTTTCTATTCATTTCTGTGAGGTTGTGAGGTGAATGAAGTTTCTACGCACCACTAACGCAAGTGGAGTGAGAACACTCCAGAAAAAGGGGATGATCTTCCAAATTCTACTCCCAAGCATGAACTCCAGATCCCGAGTGAACCTCCGAGCTCCTGAAATCAATTAAATATATTTTGGATAAGCGAGTCAGTATTATCTTTCTTGTTTGAGTTTTTTGAACCCCCAAGAATCCAAGGGACTAAGGACTTGCCATAGATCCAAGCAACCATAGCTACTTCGATGAAACAAACAAGTATGATAGGGATGGTTCCTGCGTACCAGTCCAGCAGCTGAAGGACGTACATCCCTCCCTGGAATTCCAATTCCCACAAGGAAAAAAACAGTAAATGCTTAAATTTCTCCTCTGTACAAGATCTGGCGAATGTGGAAAAGCTGACCTGTGTGACGCAGGACAAGGAAGCCCCGAAAAGAACGAGACAGGTCAAGGCAGTCACTAGAGTTTTGTGCTTTTTCAGGCTCGGGTATTCGTCGGCCACGCCTGCTATGAACGTCTCCACTTGCACGAACTTGGGGAAATCGGAACCGGACGTAAGTCAGAACAGAAATGGGAAGCACGAAAAAGGAAAGAGGGAATCCCATAAGACTTACTTCACTGTCGACTCCGAGGGTGAAGAGCATGAAGAAGAAGAGAACGGCCCATGCGGGTGCTCCAGGCATCAATGCGATCGCTTGCGGGTACGTGACGAAGGCCAAATTGGGTCCTAAAGAGAACTCGGAAGGATGCGGTGAGGTTAGGTGAGTAAATGTAAAAGCCTCACTCTGAAAAGGTGAGGCTCTTACAATTACCTTCTCTTCCTCGGCTCGGATTTGGAGCGGGTAAAAGCGAAGTGGAAGAGATATTGACTTGCCTGCAGTCGCCACTTCAGACACGGGTTTCCCGGTTTGAAGAGACATGAAGCCCAACACTGAGAAGACGACGAAGCCAGCAAACAGGCTTGTAAGGCAGTTCATCAGGGGGATGATGGCACATTCCCTAACGTGATCATAATCATCACCATTACATCTACCATGGTTCACGATTAAGGAAAGGGAAACGGAAAAGACCATCTGATGTTGTTGCGGAATGGATTGAAGCTGGCCATGGTGACGAATCCTCCCCAGCCCGGTCCCAAGGAGAAGAAGATCTGCACTGCTGCATCCCCCCACACCTGCAGAAGATAACCGTGAGGAGGAGTGCTTTTTCGTCTATCCGAGTCCTCGGCGTACCTTCACATCCAGAAGTTTGTCCCAGCGTGGAGTTATGTAAAAGAGCACACCCGTCGTTGAACCTGGGAGTGAAAGCCCTCGGATCAATAGAATAAAAAGCATGATGAACGGGAAAACTGCTGTGAAATACACTACCTGGAGAGAAAAGAGAACTGTGTCGTCGTCAACTACGCATATACGCCCTCCCGCAACGGAATGGAAATCATGCCGGCTTACTTTCCCCATGGTCTTGATGCCTTTGGAGAGACAAGCGAAGATGATGATCCATGATATAGCGGCACATAACGCCAGCTTCCACACGAGACGCCCTGGCTCTTCGATCCCAGAGCTGATCTCTAACATGTGGTTGCTGATTTCATGTACAAGAACCAGAGAAAAATTACTAGTAGATTTCAAATGGATCACAAGTCGAAAAGACGTGATGGACGAAGGGATAGTCAGTATTCTTACTGGAAGAACTCGTCAGCCGGGACTTTAGCATTCTGTTTCTCCTGAGCTGAAGGAAGATGGCAATCCATGGCAGTTGCATTGCAGCCCTCACCATTCAAAGTCACGTTCATGAACTATCAAATTTAAGAATTTGGTCAGACTGAGGAGGGAGAGCAAAATCGTCTTATTTTTGTATCTCTCTGCATGGGAAGAGTTGCATGAGCATTCATGGAAGCTGGACACACATAACAATGCAAGGCGTCTCTGCAAGTGTTAACGAGGTTACTTACTCAGGGAGACAAAAAAAAACTATATGACGTAGCTGTGTAATAGCTGTCTTGTCGCTTGACAACTTCCTATGAGCCGACAATTTCAGTCAGATGTGGAGACCCCGCAAGCTGTGCTGGGGAAGAGGAGGCGTTCCTCTGGCCCCCTCCCCTCCATATGCTGGGCGCATTCAGTTTTGACCCGGGCTATGACTCGAGTCATGGCACGAAGCACTGAATGGATCGGGGATGACAGAAACCTGACCTGAGTTATGAGCTATGACGTCGTCATCATCGAGTGAGACGTCCAGCGGATAGTTTACGTACTCAGAATAGGGAAACATGCAAATAGAGTTATGAATGGCGCAAGAGATCACGATGGCTGTCGCTTTCTTTGGCTTGGCATCTATGAATTTCAGTCTTCTGAAATTTCTCTTCGATTATGCTTCGAGAAGATGCCATTTTCGTATTGAACTGTTTTTATGTTGGGTGAGATGACCGTTATCCTTGAGTGGCACCATGACATACTGAGCAAGTGGGGATGCTGAATCATCCGAAAGATGATGGTGGGGGAGAAGCTTTAGCGTTCTATTTGCAATGGCCTTCTCAATTAGGTTATGTCTCTGAACTCTTGAATCATGAGCATCCAAGAGTGGCAATTTTAACTTCAAGATCATTCTGCCACCTCTTTATCTTCCAATTTCATCTACCTGTCAGAAGTACTACTCAGAAGAGCGTTTAAGATCCACTTAAAAAAATGTGCCCCGCCAAACTGGAAAAGTGACCCAATGCTTTCAGAAGGTTGTGTGAAATGTCCTAGCGGGCCTTGCCCCAAGTCCCGAGTCGTGACTTGGGACATGGCCCACTCGGACATTTCCCCAGCCCAGTTATATCGAGTCACAAGTGAATGCATCCCCTATGGCAGCCAGAAGTTCAACGCTAGTCCGGCAGAAGCCTCTTTCGATCCACTATAACTCGTAAAATCTGACACGAATGCGGCAAAATTACCCCAGTTCTTTTGTACAATGCCCTCGACAGCTGGAACCGCTGTGCATGGGCAATGACAACATCCTATTGCAATAGGTAGTCCTTTCCCCATTAATGTGTTCTTTTTGTTACATCCTGCATGATGTTGAGATGTTGAGTGGTCTGGAAAGAGGGGAGCAGAGAACTCACATCAACGCACTGCTCTGAATTCCATTCGTGCGAGCAGTCCGCCCAGGGCAAGTGACTCTGGAAGGATGATCCCAGGTAGAAAAGTGAGTAGGCGATGATGATGTTGTAATAGGCTGACACAATCGCATTTACCATGAGGGTACAGTAACCAGCACCTGTGAGCGGACGAATGAGATCTCTCAAAAACACGAAGCTTTTCTATCTCTGCTTGCTGCCATCATGACGTCGGTGTCGTGATTATCTTTGCAAGAAGAGTCTATAATTATGCCTAACACCCTAAATATACAGGATGGGCCAAAAAAAGGGTAACTGAAAATGAGTTTTTTTTTCATTTTAGGGCAATATTGGATAATCATCATGCCTCAATATACTGTTGAGGAGCGTGTATGGATTGTCAAACACTATTTTCGAAGCTTGGATCAGGCCGTAATTAAGGTTTTCAGGAGCAATTCGACAAAGAACAAAGAAACTTTAGTTTCGGCTACCTTTTTGTGGCCCAACCTCTATAATCTACTGCATGCACCTCATCAGGACTCCTGCATCCTCGCCGTCCCCTGATGATTCGAAGAAAATGTTTTGCATCGTCTGTTGCAATAGGGTTCTTTTCGGACAGGCCAACTGCCGACTTGTCGAAAAATCTTCCTTACGCGTTTGTTCGAAGGGTGAAAGGAAATAAGTGCATCAATGTGATCTCAATTCTGTCGAACACACGCGCCGAGAGAAGGGAATACCCGTATCAAAGGGTATTCCCTTCTCTCTTCCCAAAGGCTTCATTAGCAAAACGAGTTTTCACGTGAATTGGGTAGAATTTCGTTTATATGATTTCTATTCGGCCATTGCTTTAAATATAATAGAATTAAATTCAATGTATTTATTAGGAACTAACTTTAAGGCACTGTTTGGCTATGCAATCACTCCTGATTCTGAGAAGGACTTAATTGAGGTAGCTTGCAGAGCGCAGAGTAGCACTTGTCTTTCGGCGAATCGAGCTACACAGCAAGAGAGCCGAAGAGGACGTCAAATGTTCACAAGTGATTCACTCAAGAAGATGGACTTGATAGAAGACGAGTTCTATCACAAAGAGCTCATCGTGTTCCATACATAAGACGTCTCTCGCAAATATCCATTGACTGAAATGCACGAAGATCTCAGTGATCCTTCGTGACTGGGATTTCTATAGATTTCTGTCTTTGTCATGGACAGATGTAGAGCAAACTGTGTGTGGGGGGGGGGGGGAAGGAGAAGTGCTTGGTGACGGGCCTGGGATCGATTCCGTCGATATAAGTCGGTGGCTAAGTGCGGACGACTCAATGGGAGGCATAATTATCGATGTTATGGATCAGTTGAACCCCAGTGAACTAAAAATGAATCATTCTCAAACTAAAACCTCAGAACTTCAGGAAAAAAAAAAGAATTCTCCTTTGCAATATGATGCCGATAAGGGACTCACCCTTCAAGAGTGGGCACATGGAATAAATGCCGAGAACTCCGGCGCTGGTGAACTGCGCCAGGCCGACCTCCATGAAGAACAGAGGAATCCCGGCGACGAACAGCATGAGAAAATACGGGACCAGAAATGCACCTGCGATGGGGGTTTAAAAAGCCTACGGGTAGACGATGCCTGCAATCGTTCACGAACTCCTCCGGTGTTAATGTTGGTGTACCTCCTCCATGTCGGTAGCAGAGGTAGGGAAATCGCCAGATGTTGCTGAGCCCGATGCAATAGCCGAGGCAGGACAGGATGAATTCTGCCTTCCTTGCCCACTTCTCCCTCCCTCCGTCCTCTCTCGATTCCATCTTCAGCTCTGTTTCGTTAGGATCTCACCTGTGAGTTATGACATGGTTTATGGCACGGAGTCATAGCATGGTCGGCCACTTTTCGAATTAATATTGCATACAATGAGCCCTGGAACGCTAGCAACTCCTTCGTCTAAGCATAAAGGATATCAATACTCGTATGACCTTGTAAAATAGGCTACATCTTAGAATAATAATGGCGGACAAATTGGGCCATAAGGAATAATGTCAGTCTAGCTCTTCGTCGTCCCGTTTCCTGGCACGACCGAGCATGAATTTGCATGCCCAGAAGGAAAATAATTCCTGAGCGTCACCTTGCAGGTGCGGGTCAGTGGGGACCCAAGGTAAATTCTACCTTGTATTTGACTCGGATCGAGCTGTATTCAAAGGGAGAGTCTTCTCCTCTTTCCGTAGTTTCCTTTTCAGTCATTCAAAGTAGATGAAAGATGTTTGACGAAGAACGAGTAGGCCTGCATTAATACATTGGATGTAACACTCTGTCTTGAGCACTACGAATGCTCTGAGTGAACGATTGCACGCCTTTTGAAAGGAGGCTCAACGATCAGAGGGAGTCAAGCAAGGCCGCTTTTATTTTCATCGCCTTGAACTGCAAAGTATCTGGTCGCAGTCATCGACTTTCCAAAATGCAATTAAAGACAATTTTGAGAACCAACCACGCTTACGGCTGAGCTGGAATTGGTGTCAAATGCTGAGATCAGATAATTATTTAATCGCGGAATGGATACGCCCTCGATCGGGCTAGTTTCTCCAACACGTTGAACAATACACAATAAAAAGGACTCTGTGCAAAGGTGATTCGACCCGCGAATCTGCAGAACATCTCTCAAGGAGACCAGCAGAAGTCTACCTAGCCAGAAACTGACACTGCCTACTGTTTTGCAAAATTGCTATAACCAATCGGGGTCCTTATATTCTTCAGTTCAAACTTGCGGGACATTTCGACAGTCATGTTCTAACGCGCCCTCACAATAGTTGGAAGAATTTGCTGTCCAACAGAGTTTCATCCAGCAATCAAGACCTTGAAAACATACCAAATGAGATCCAACTAAAACAATTTGGGGGAGGGGGGGGGGGAGCAGAAGAGACGTGGAACCGTGCATTGTACAGTACACGAGTTAGGAGCAGTTGACCCCTTCGCCACGGTGCCAGCCTGCAAACTGGCATTTCAGGTCCACGGTGTTCATCGATTCATCATCTATCGCCCGGGCCGTGCATTTACTATTCCCTCTCTGGGCCTTCTATTATACACGACCAAACAACGCGGGGTTCCAAACAGTCTCTCTTTTTCTCTGCTATGCGACGGTTTTCGCATGTTGCACCTTTCAGATATGAGACGTAGGGTAAAACGGCCAAACCCGAACACCTGAAGGTTGAGTCGAACGCACAAATCATAAGGTCGAGATGACCGCCATAATGAGTATTCGACTCGACCTTAAGGTGTTCGGGTTTGGCCGTTTTACCCTGCCTCCTGTTTCGTCGAAAAGGGTTAATGCTCTCGCCTTCAAACAAGTTGGGCGAGGAGCCCACAAAATTAAATCGACGCGGGATCTTATTCAAGTCTGGGAGGCTCTGCACACCCTTCGTGTCAGAAGCTGTTTTGTATGGTAGGAAGTTTTTTTAATCTCGCCATGTCCACATGATGGATGAAGGAATGCAAGGGAGAAAAGGCATGGCTCCCTGTATTCCCGATCCTCAATGCTACGAGACAAGCACACGATAGATGCAAAGCATCAGCGATTATTCGTGGTGACGGACTATCGATCGGGGGAGTTCACGCAGATCTCCCTGCTAAGTTTGCTATTTTAACATTTCCAGTTTCAAAGGAAACCATCTTGCAATGAACCTTCCTTTCAGCCTGGCAGTCATCTAGCAACCTAAGCTGCGAAAATTCGCGATAGAGGTCATCCCCTGCTGCTCATGATGGAATCATTACGAAGTTCATATTGTGGGAATGCGTTGTTTTGCCATCCGATATTATTCAGAAGCTGTGTAAGTCTGCCTAGTACATTAGGTCCACAACCAACCTGGTTAAGTAAGCCAGTGAACAAAATCTAAAATAGTATGCTGTAAGGGTGTGTGTACCTTTGAAAAACAGGATATGTTTTCCCAATTAGAGAAATTAATTAGAGAAATGGCGTAGTTCCTCCCCGGGAATGCGAAGTATTCAGATTCATGGACTTCGTGCGTCTGCGAAGATAACTTCAACGACAAGTAAGATATATTTATAATAGTTTGAAACCACTTTCAGCTAAGGTGAGGTCGTTTTTCTCCTCGATATAGCGACAGTTGTATTTCTTCAATTTTTCAGAAGCAGAGCTTCTGCATCGGAGTGTGCAATCTTCATTGGCAGTGGGCCGCATGCAAATGTCTGGCTCTTCACGTGGGCCATAGAATGTGCTCCTCTCTTACGCCCTTAGGGCGTATGGGGGCATAAGATCACGATGATCGACTGACGATCATCGTCACGACGATGGGTGTGACGACACCTTTTCCCCACCCCTAGGAAATTCCAACGCTCTAAATTAGCCTTGGCATCGCGAGACTCCTTCCTCGGGACATTTGCAACACTGCCCGCGTGAGGAATAATTAGAAGGAAATGAAAAACTTCGTCTATTTCTAGTTACTAAGGGATGGCCAAAGTTGTGATGGGCCTTGGGCCACCAAGGAACTTATTTTTATTTTATTTTATCATTACGCCTTACCGGCTAGCTAGATATCGGTCCACGAGCCATATGCGGGCCGCGGGAAGCGGGTTGCACATCCCTGTTCTGCACTGATACACCAATCTTGCTAATCATTAAAACATGCATCTGGAAATCGATACGCAGGGAGCAAGGCTGGAGATCAATGATGCAAGATGCTTATACACGAAAGCTCTGGCATCTTTATGGCACTGCGGATCAAAGAGGGACAAGAAATCGCTCTGGAGGGGGGAAGTGGGGGAGGGGAGGGAATGGTCTCCTTCCATGTCGTGTTAATTTCATGCTTACGTGCAATGTATCCCGGATTCCTTAAAGAAATACGCTAAAATGTCTGTCAGGGGTGCTCAAGGTGGGAAGGTCCGTTAACTGATGTCCGGGCGGTCTGCCGGTCTGGAAGTAAAATTCCTGCGCGAAAGGTGACATTTATTGTCGGATAATGTCGCATTTAGGATAAGGCTGTTTCTATGGAAAGGATTAGCCATTAAATTTATTGATGGGGAGGGGGGGGGGGGGGTGCAATGCAAATGCGAAAAAGAGGATTTCTTCCAGAATAGAGGGATGGGTACCTTTGGAACGTCATCCTGCTATGAGACCATTATTGCCAGAGGGGATAAACGCCGTAAAGGGGTTGGGAAAAGAACCCAAAGAGATGCGTAGGGTCTACGGTAGGTTTGGTAGGTTGCCCCCTGACAGCGATAGGAATCATGAAGAAGACATTGCAAATTCTGGACGGAGACCCGGGTCTCTTAACACTGGGAATTTGTTTTTAGTTTCACATACTGAACGCATCAATTTGAATCAATGGGCAACCATTGACTACAAAGACCATTGAAGACATTCAGTGAATCCCATAAAAGGATATGAAACTTTGACTTGCACCTGAGGTTCTGCGTGAGAAGTTGTACATCAGTTTCGTTTTGAGAAATTTCTTGCGAATTCCGCCTGATAAAACTATGCGTTCCACATATATAATCAATTCAATGACCCGATGGAAAAGCCCTACCAGCAAGATGTGAAACTTTGCGAGCATTCCAGTGGCAGAGTTAAAAAAAAGTGAAGGTGTTTCCTCTCTGACCTCTATTTAATCAGCTGCTTTGGCTTTTACTTCAAGTGCGCTGAGGACGAACACAACTTTTGTCTGTTGCGTTGCCAATGACTCCTCTGAATTGCTCCAAGCCGACACCATTTAGATTTCTAGCAGTCATTCGTGATGTTGGGCACCGTACGGGCAGACACAGCTCTGCAAGACGGGGCAAAGTAATACTAGCGCTTTCGGCATGCAAAACTATCACACTGTCAAGATTATCAAACTATCACATTCATTGATCAGAAATGAGAAAATATAGAAATTTGGGGAGCACGAATGACAGTCAAATTCTATAAATGGCTATAAAATTCTGCCATAAATTCTTTGTAAACTTGACTCAAGATTTTTACAGAGAGAATGTCGAAATTCGGAGCAGCCTGAGATATACTAGACAAATGGTCACCATTGTGTGCGGTCCGGAGGATGAGAGCTCGCGGTCTGGATCCGGACCGCGGTCTGCAGGTTGGGCATCCCTGGTCTACAGGTATGTGGTCCCGAGAACTATGCAGTGAAGTTTCAGTTAGTGAATATAAAAAGTTGGAGAAGCTTCAGCATAAGTATCCCATTCCATCAAGAGAAGTGGAACCGGGGGGAGAGGGAGGTAGAGGAGGGGGAAGGGGGGGGGGGAGGGCAATGATCTCCCAATTTTAGAATATGGTGAATTTGGCTTCTTCATTCACAAAACCCTGCTGCTCATAGATTACTGGGAATGGAAGTCGAGTGGCAAGAAATAGAAGCAAAAAATTTGGATAGTTTCTTTTCAAGATTTATATTATCAATTCAGTGGCGCATTTTGACGGAAGAGTCGGGGGGGGGGGGGGGCAGTAGAGCGGGGGCGTCAAGCCCCACCCAAGCGATATCAGAAGAGAAAATAGTGCAGAGGTCGGCCGCCCCCCATTCCCCTTGTAAAATACGCTGCTGTATCATCTCTCTCTCGTTTGAGTGTCATAAATAAATATCTACGAGTTGAAGACAATTTTGTGCAATGCATAAAATAGTGAGAATTTATTAAACAAATCTAGAATTTTTCACTGCGAAAATCGACAGCAGGCGGGAAATGGGGAGTTGGGCATCCTGAAGGACTTTCCCACTCTTCCCCCTTCCAAAATATGTTTCTCAATGTGATTTTTTCACATTTTTATGCATTTTCAAGGATGGATACCAGTTCTCATTGGCGATGGGCCTTTCCCACTACCTACCGATATTGGCTGCGTTTAACCGAAGCTTCACTTTCGGGTATGCAATGAGGGAGATTCATTTGAATTGTCAACTATTGGAAAACACAGTATGCATTTTTTTAACTTTACAGTCTACGAGAATAAACCTCAAAAACTTTACCTAAAAATCTGACACGAGACACAATTAAATCCACGGAAACCATTGTGTTGACTTTGACTGATTTCTGCTAGAAGCAGAATCATTCTTGACTTCTTCCATTTTCACTAAGATTTCACTGCATTCATCTAGGCTCGACCAGTCAACACCGTAGACAAAACGAGCCACACCAGACAACAACCGGTTTCACGCTTGGATGCCTGTCACGCACTGACAATACACTCCTAGGAAAGGCGAAAAGGAGAAGACGAAGAATAATTTAGTATTGCAGCTGACATTTTGCCGGCATTTGACTTCTATAACAAATCATACATTTCACCTCCTTTCCCTTGCTCATTGCGAAGGTTTCACAGCTGAGTTATCAAACAATAATGATGCAACCTTGCTAATTTACAATCGCCATTACCTGGCATTGCAGAGGGTGGCGGAGGAAAGCAAAGACGATGATGAAATTGACCATGAGACCAGTAAAATACGAATCCTCTCTCGATTGGGTGGGCAATCGAGGGAGGAGGATTCATGTTTGACTGGACTTATATTACGGTATGGTGAATCCAAAAGTTAAAGCTGTTTCCAGCTGAAGTTTAAAACTGAGGATGGAGAGCAACACCCAGGACATGAGTCTAGCGTGATGGAAAGAGGGTGTTCCCACTTCTGCCCCCCCCCCCCCGACGCTACGCTGACCCAATAGACATTGATTGGGCCTCTGGACAGAATCGATATGCCTATTAGGCCCATCAGTTATATTCTCCACACAAGTGGAGAATATAACAAGTAAGCCAAAAATTCCTTCCCCTAGCAGGGCGTTTGGCCTACCAATTCATGAGAAGTCTGACTATATGCGTGAATTTTCTGTCCCCCCAAAGTTTTGAGTCCCTGAAATCCCCCAAAGGCTAGAGTTGAATAATTTTTTTGCGGAAAATATATCTGACATGTCTTCTTGTGTGTATGTACATCAGCGTCATCTCCTAATACAATTATTGGAAATACTCCAACTTCGCTCTCTGAGAGTTGTGTCGTGCTGCCTGGCTGGTTTGGCAATGTGGCGACCTGCATGGTCCTAGTGCGGCCTTGCCTCGGTCTTGATCTGGGCTCGGCTAAGGTGACCAGACGTTCCGGTTTTTCAGGGTATGTTCTGGTTTGGAAACTGTTCTGGTTTTGGTCCTGGCTTTTGAGAGATGCAAAGAACCAATATAATGAACTACAATCCGCTGACATTTCTAAGGGAACACAAGGATGTAGGCCTATAGCAGTCTTTAAATCTTAAAGATTACATTTTCCTTTCATCCTGTTGTCCCGGTTTTTCGCATCGCAAGAACTAACATTTGGCCATTTTTTGAAAATTCCCTGTTTTTATTTTAAATTAAATATCTGGTCACCTTAGGCTTATGATAGGCCAGGCCTTGGGTGCAATTTAATCCTGGAGGGATGCAGGTGCATTTTTTGCAGTTCAGGCAGGTAGACTTATGTTATTCAGTTAAATGTTCAGATGAAGAGTAGCAGCAGAATGACAGGGAAGAAGTTCATGCCATGTGAACCTCATAATGTAAGACTAATATTGTGTAATTTTATACTTGATAGGTAGCATATATGTGGAATGCACTAGTGTTTTCTCTTGAGTAAGGCAATTTTTTGCTTAAGCATTCATGTATGAGGAATGTCCCTTACACAGGTGTGTAAGTCAAGTGAGAAATCGTCTGACTCAAGTGAAAAACACTTATTGATGCAGTGGCTGCCCCTTCTGTGACTAGTGTTAAGAAGAGGTTTGATATCTTCATGGATGTAACAAAAGGGAATCATATAGCTGTAGGTGACTAGGCAGTAGTTGGATGTACTTATGAAAATGTCAATCTTCAAGAGAGGTTGGTTTATCTCATTCTGTATGATTGCTTGACTTTGGCACAGGATGTCATAATGGGCAGAAATGACTCTTGACATCAATATTCAAGCCTTGACCCTTGAGTTTCTTGCCAGTTAAATTTCGAAAAGTTTTTTAACAGTGATAAAGAGGACATGGTTAGATATCACATGATCAAGCTTACTTCATGATCTGTAAATTTGGATTGGCTCTGCCTGAATTCTGATGAAGTTCATGCAGAAGCCAAAATTCAACTTGCATGCTTATAATGCAAGGAATGGGAAAATAGGACCAATAACTCTTAACCTATATATCTCAGCTTCCACTGGGGCTATTTTCATGGAAATTTTGTTCAGGCTACTCCTTCCTTATCAATTGACAATCTGATTGTCTTCAAGATAGACATTAATTCACAGCTCTGTTGTATCAAATTTTCCTACCCTATTTGAAGTATTTGATGCATTTTCATAACTATGACCATGTCACAAAACTCCATGCTTTTAGCAAATTTCCCATGCACACAGCCCATAATGGACTCTGCCAAAGGTCCTTCCTGTACAGGAGCCTCCACTTCATTCTTGGTCAGCTTATGCAATTCAGCAGTTTCTGTTGCTGTGCCTTGTAATAGGCCTCTTGATCCCTTGAGGACCTAGCTCTGCTGACAATTGGTGTATACACAAGAACTAGACCCATTTCAATTTGAACTGTTCTCTATATCCCTATGAGTTGACATTGCTAAATGCTACTCCATTATGAAGCAGCTTGTCCTTGTGGTACAATACAATTTTTCCCAATCTTGCTGGCAAGCTTCTTCAGGAAAAATTTAGTCAGGGAGATGGTGGGGAATGAGACAAAATGGTATTTAAAAAATCATAAGTTGTAAGAAAAATAAAAATAAAAATGTCATGAAGGAGGTAGCTCTTAACATGTTCTTCAAAGTAAGCTATTATGGGGTGTCATGGATCAGTTAGGCATGAAAATGGTTTCAAATGCTCTGTGATTGAGATAAAAGAGTGAGAGAAGTAACTGCAATCCAATTTTGGGGTAGACCTGTAATGGATTATAGTGAATTGTAATCAGTGCACCAATGTACTCAAATGGAATCTGATCTTGTACTTTTGTGTTCCAAGGAGGATATTGCAACTTCAATGACACGGTCTGGCTCTGACAGAGAGAGCTGCTGTCTAACATGTCTACACTTTCTCATATCCCGTTTAATTGCAGTACATGTTCATCTCATGTGAATCACTTGCTTTATCTTCTTTGACATTATTATTAAGGTATGAAGAGGCAACGTGCTATATTAAAATTGAAAGGTCCTATATAGTGCTGAAAAAACTGGAGTGGGGGCTGGTGGAGATCTGATGATTGTCGTCATGCCTCCAGTGCACTACAGCATTTTAGTAGTTTATGCACAAACTGGACATAGTTTATAATGTTCAGTGACAGCACAATCTCATTGAAATTTGCCTTTAATCAAGTTTGAAAGCTGTTCAGTTTTGGAGTTTCTTTTTTCTATTTGAAGTTGGTCTCTTGCCTAAGCAACTGTTTTCAAACCCAGCTGACTCATGATCCCCCAAATAGGTTGGATTAAATCACATTATTGAACCATGAACTCATAGGAAATGAAGAGAAAATGTGAAAAAGAAAAGCATGTGTTGCCTCGGTATTTGTTCTCAGGTTTCCTCTGCATAGAGTTTCATCTGTGCCATGACTCATCATCAGTCGTGTGTGAGTCTTTTGCATGAGTTTTGTAAGATTTTCATTTGATTTGTTTGTTATTTTTGCAGCTTTCTTGAGTTTAAGACTGCAACTGCAGCAATGTTAGCATTGCAGCTTGTAACCTTCCCATTTTGGCCTATTTTGATTTATTCTTCATTTTTGTGATTAATTTTTTATATATTCCTTGTGAGACCATCGATGGAATGATTATTGCTTTCAGTTTTGCTTATGCTCTGACTCACTCTTATTTCCTGTAAAGATAATTCTAGCAGTGAGTTGGTGTACTTTTGGAGAGACTTAATAGGTTTTACTATTTAAATTTGCAGTTTAAAATATTAACTCAATCTACAAATGTACCAAGTCAAACCACTCTCCCAATATCAGTCTTATCATTGTTATCATTTTCATTACATTATCACCACTATAAACTATATTCTTCTTCATTAGGTCTAAGCTTACACTATATGAGATTTATAGCATTCCTATCCTAAGTGGTAAATGATTGAGAGTGTACAGGCCTGATGATATTGAAATTGGATTAATTGTTTTTGGCTGTTGAGCCTTTTAATCTTCAGCTGATTGTGTACCCTCCTGATTGCAAGAATCTTGTAATTTTGCCTTTTTCTGGATAAAATATGTAGACCCCCTGGAATACATCAGCCTGTGGACTGATACCCCTATCATTCCTCAAAATGGAATTGAGTGCTGAGACTAGATTTTCTACATTTTGTGATCTGTGTGAGAAGCTTAGTGGCATGAAGAAAAATGATAAAAAGAGACAGTTGATGGAGAAGTTCATCAGAGAATATAGGAATGCATTGAATCAGAAGAAACTGTCATCTACGGTTGTGACTGGTGAGACATGCTTCCCACTTCTTAGACTTCTACTCCCTCAAATGGATAAGGAAAGAGGTGCTTATGGGCTGAAAGAAACAAAGTTGGCAAAATTATACATTCGCATTCTTGGGCTCAATAAAGAAAGCAGAGATGCTCAGAAATTGCTCAACTATCGCAGTCCAACTAGTGGGTCCATCAGTGTGGGTGACTTTGCTGAGGTTGTATACTTCGTGCTTCAACCAAGATGTCCTACATCAGGAAAAATGTCAATCCTGGATGTGAATAAGAAATTAGATTTAATAGCTGAGAATAATGCATCACACAATGTGAAGGATATGGATAGAGATTTTGTTGACATGATTCATCAGATGTCTGCCCTTGAACAGAAGTGGTTGATACGAATCATCATGAAGGATATGAAGTTGGGTCTTGGAACCAATGCCCTTTTCAGCATCTTCCACCCTGATGCAAAGGACTTCTATGATGTAAATAACAGCTTGGAAAAAGTATGCTCAACTCTTCATGATCCAAATGTGAGACTTCATGAAATTGAGGTCTCCCTTATGTCTCCATTCCGACCTATGCTTGCAGATAGGATGTCTGTAAAAACCATGGAGAAGAATCTCAACAGATCTTTTTATGTGGAGAACAAATATGATGGGGAACGAAGTCAGCTACACAAGGATGGATCAAAATTTAAGTACTTCTCACGAAATGGTTTTGATTTCACAACTAACTTTGGGTCTCATAATGGAGAAGGCTCCTTGTCTCCCTTCATTGCTCACTGTTTCAAGTCCCATGTGAATACTTGTATCATTGATGGAGAAATGCTTTGTTACCACAAGAAGAGGAAGGTATTTGTGACGAAGGGAGCAAACGTAGATGTGAAAGGCATATCTCCAAATGATGATGAACTGCAGCCATGTCTGGTTGCATTTGACATTTTATTCCTGAATGGTGATGTTCTTACAAACAGACCCTTGAAGGATCGTGTCAGAATCTTGGAAGAGGTTTTTAATCCCTTGGAAGGCCGATTGGTTTTAGCTTCAAGAAAGGAGATAGCATCAAGAGAGCAAATTGCAGAAGCTTTGAATGAAGCTATTGACAAGGGAGAAGAAGGCATTGTTTTAAAGGATCTCTATTCCATTTACCAGCCCAATGTCCGGAAAGGAGGATGGTTGAAATTGAAGGCTGAATATGTTGATTCCTTGAGTGATGATGTGGATCTTCTTATAATGGGAGGGTATTATGGAGAAGGGAGACGTAGAGGAATTGTCAGCCATTTCCTGTTAGGAGTTGCAAGTGGAGAAGGCCCAAATAAAGTGATTCAGTCTGTCTGTCGTGTTGGTTCTGGATATTCAATGTTAGAACTTCAAGAGCTCCTGCAGAAATTGGAGAATCATTGGCAGCAGGTCAGAAAAGATAGGGGACCTCCTCCATCTCTGCAATGGACCAAGGAAGTTCCTGATGTATGGATTTCTCCTTCAAAGTCTTTCATACTTCAAGTCAAAGCTGCTGAAATTATTGAGTCTGATGTATATAAAGTTGGCTTTACTCTCCGTTTCCCTAGGGTCCAGAAAGTGAGGTATGATAAAAATTGGGATGACTGCATGACAGTAGATGAATTGGAGTCTTTACGAAATCAGTCTTCAGGGAAACTGGCAAAGAGGCACTTTGAATTTGCTGCTGATCAAGAAAAGCCAAAGACAAGGGGACAGCAGTCTCTCCCACTTTTGGTGGCTCCTCATTTCCAGGCTGCTGATTTGGCTGGTGTTTCCAAAGAATCCCAACTATTGAAAGGCATAGAATTCTGCATTGTGAATGGATTGGATGAAGAATATGACAAACAGAAATTGGAAAAGCTGATTGCCAGCCACGAGGGGAAAATAGTGCAAAATCCTGGTCCAAACACAAAATTTGTCATTGCAGAGAGAGTGAATGCTCGAGTTAAAAATATAATACACGCAGGCAGACATAATGTTGTGAAAGCCACATGGCTTTTGAACTGTGTGCAAGTTGAGAGACTGGTAGATGCAACTCCTTTAGATTTTTTGTACATGAATTCTGAAACTTCAGAAGTCCTCTTGAAGCATTATGATCAATTTGGTGATCCATATTTTGTACAAGGGGATAGTGATGCTTTGGAGAGGATACTGTCCCATGTACCTGAAGCCAAAAGATGCAAAGTACATTTAGAAGACCTCATGGACATGGATCAGTTGGGACTGTTTCATTTCATGGTCATCTATTTGGATTTGTATGTTCAAGTTGGGGATCAAAACCAGCCTGTACCCCTCTTCTCACCCCTTCATCGATTAAGACTTCAGATCCTTGCAAATGAAGGTGAAGTTGCTAATGAAATGTCAGATATGGTCACACATGTTATCATCGACCCATCTGACACATCTCGCTTGAATTACTTGAAAGCATTGCAAATTGAGCCTGATAGAAGAAGTTTCCACATTGTGAAGTTCAGTTGGTTGGAGGAATCCATGAAAATTGGCAGACTCTTGCCAGAAAGAGAATTCTGTCTGTGATACTACCAGTGCATTTCAAAATGTCAAGGTTTTCATATCTGATTATGCTTGTTGTAAATGGCTTAAATTCATGGTAACTTTCACTTTAACTTCACCAGATGGTCCATGTTTCAACAGATGCAATGTGAGATACACTAGTCAACCAATGCATTTCTCACAAGGCAATATGGAATTTAATTTACCACATCTCCAATTATACTTAATGCCTTTAGGATACCTGTAATTGTCATTCTTTACAGGAACCATTTGGTGTTGTGCAGCCTCAAATTATTTGTGTAACACATGCTTCTTTCCTCATTGCCCTTGATGAAAAGTGTTAAGAGAGCTAATCCTTATTTCCCATATTGATAAAATATTTCACATTTTCTCTTTCTGATGTTGGTACTTCACTTCTACATATCAGGAGATTGAGGATTGGCTTAGGAATGCACTTGGATGCAAGTTTGACTGACTATGTGGGTACTCAGTATATGGGTAGAAAATAAGATTCATGTGTCTGTTTTTCCCATTTTTCTTACAATTCTCAATCTGATAGGAGAAGTAAAGCTTTAAAAGCACATTTGGAATACTTTTATCAAATTTAATGACTCATATTCTGAGTAAAATTGATGATAATATGATTTTATGTATCTGCAGCTGAAAGAAGCTAAGTAAGTATTAAATACCATGTGGATATATATCAGTAATTAAGATCATGATGAGAAGCTAGATTTTATCATTCTCATTGGATGGAAACTTCTCCCAAGAAAACAGGAACTGGATGGGAAAGCTGAGGAATTATTAGTACCCCCATTTTTCCTGCTCTTTTATGTCCCATTTATGGCATGATGGGTGCCTGAAAATGTCATAGATAAACTACCCTACTTTGTTAGTACCTAGATATAAGCTGTATCCCTAGATTTGTTGGTCCAGTTGGTGAGACTTGCTCATGGATATTGCCTTTGTTGATTAGTTTTATCTATTATTATTATTATTATTATTATGTTTTCCCTTTAGTAGTGAACTTTTATTCATAAATACAATAGCTTGCTGTTATCAGGGCTTTTTGAGCTCTGGCACCTAGGCATTGAATGTCTGAAAATCACCTTTATGTTCCTACCAGTTCTCTGGTTGTTTGGAAATATATATATTCAGACTGGATTTTTAAAATAAAACTAAATTTAGAAAAAAAGCACTTATCCCCTTCTGGCCAAGAGATGTCATCTACCCATGTCTGCAGTGCCTTGAAATGTGACAGTGGAAGAATTTCTAGCATTCAATTTTATTGTATGTATGTTTATTATGAATAAATTCTCTCTGCAGGTATATAAGGCCAATTCAAAGAAGTTCAATTGATTTGATAGTAGAATTGGTTCCATTTCTCAGTGGAACTGATGCAAGATAAACTTTTTAAGTGGACTTGAGTGATCCACCATGTTTTCCCACTTGAAGAAGAAGATCGAAGAGGAGGGAGGTGGAAAGCTCCTGACGGCTGTTACCACTGGTGCAGTACTCAGATCACCCTTGTCTCGGTCTGGAGATGATGACCGTTCATCTGTGTGTTCAGGAACTTTGGAAAGACACCCTTCCACTGGCAGCTTAGCTTCACATTCAGGCTGTGAAGGGCAAGATGTTCTGACTGGAAAGATAGTGAGGGAAAGAAACAGCTTTGGAACTGCTGCTGCTTCCACTGAAGCCCAGGTTTCTATTTTAATGTTCATTCTGATGTTTCATATGTTAGTCATGAAGATGGCTTCAAAATTTAAAGTTTTGCTGCTGAAGAATTTCTTGCTTTGGCAATTGATGTGCAGTTTTAATTTTTGGCATTCTTAAGTATATTTCATTTTGTTCAGCAAGCAGTGGAGAGACGACTTAAGAGGAGTGAATGGCGAAAGGAGCTGGAGAAGAAGGAAAGAGAGCTGTTAGAGAAAGAGAAGGAATGGACAGAGAAGGAGGTAGAATTAAGAATGAAGTTGACAGAATTGGAAGAAAGTCACAAAGCAGCAATGGGTGAGGAATGGTGAAATTCTGGGATTAATATTTTTCTATCACGACTTTCTGCCCTTCCATGGATCAGTTTTTCTCTTTTGTACAGGATACAAAGAGAGACTTATTCTGTGCCAAGAAGAGCTAGATCAATTGAAGGGATTCAGGGAGCAAGAAGTTGCCAAGGTGAAGCACCTGGTGAGTTTTCCTTGTTGAGATCATGTATGTTGTACAACTCACATTCATTCTTCATAAGTTAAATGTGGACTTTTATGCAAAAAAAGGGGGCCATTTCATTTCTTAAATTATTTCTGTCCTATTTTCACATGTACCTCACTGCAATGCATGTTGAAATCTTAATGAATAAGAAAATTTTCTGCAAAGTACAGTAATACCTTGCAATATGCTTGGGATGCATTCCTGAAGCACATGTCCACTACAGACATATGCTCCTACAACATGTTTGTTATGCAACACACTGATTCACGATACACTTGGTTTTTCAGGAATGCATCCTGAGCATATTGCAAGGTATTACTGTTTAAGAATATTTTAACCAGTGATTCAAGTGCAATAACTTCTTAAATTTGAAGCATGAAGCATTTCATTGAACAACCAATCTTCCCATTGTTCCTACTAGGTGCATCCCTTGGGTGCTCTCTCACAGGGCTGAGCACAGGGAGCAGGCAGTCTGAATGAAAGAAACTGGTTTTTGATGTGTCCTGTATTTCATCCTATGTTCCTAAGATCCTGTGTTTTCAGTTTCTTTGGGTTCAGGTTGCATCTTTTACATTATCATAATAATTTTATGTAGACTTAAGGTCTAACTCCCCATTCTTGCAGTTTTTGTCATGAATTAATTACATTATTCAAAATTATGAGGAACGTAATGTGAGTCAGTGAAGAGGACAAGCACACCTGATCAAAAGCTTGCAAGAGATGAAGGGGGGACCACTTTTGCTGCTTCAGAAAGAAATTCTTTGGGGGGAAAAAAGGTGGTGTCATGGTCTTGATAAGTTGTTGAAACTGTATCAATGTTGAGGAAAATATGGAAGTGGCAGACCACATAAAACCCAAGCTATGGAGAATATTGAGACCATGGAAGAATTGGTCCTCTCTCAAAGGGGATCAAACTCAAACTCGAACGATTAACATGATAAAAGGTATTCATCACATGAGACTGCCTGCCACCTGCATTGTCATTTTGGGGAGTGCCAAAGTGATGCACCTATCTAGAAGCAGAGAGCAGATTACTCATTTGCTGTGATTTTTGATACTTCAACTTTGATGAGTTATTTCGTTTGAAGCACTAGATGAAATTCTTTACATTTGGCAGGAATCTTTCTTTCTCATCTAAAATGGCATGTGCAGAAAAGTATGAGCCTTGCAAAATATCAGTTTGTGACAGTGGCATATTTTACGGGGGGGCAGAGGGGGCAGCTGCCCCCCTGGTGCCCCTGGGACAGAGCTTGGTGCCCCCTTGGAGGTAATAATTTCCCCACCTGGTATCACTTGGGTGGGGTTTGGCGCCCCCGCACTGTTGCCCTGCCCCTCCTGACCCCTCAGCCAAAATATGCCACTGGTTTGTGATAATTAAGAAAATTAATTGGCCCCCATTTTTGAGACAGTGGAGTATGGAAAATCATCTCTATTTCCACATACACTAACTTCTCTGCTCCTTTCTGAACTGGATTCATGTTGTTTATAAATTTCACCCTCACTTGAAGACTTCCAGATTCAAAAATGAAAAATTAACCTCAAATCATGGAATGAATTCACTAGGCTTTTTGTATTGTAATCTTCCAATAGCTACAGGATTTTTTAGATTTTTGCAAATTTTCAATTTTATTGCTGAATGTTGAAATTGTTGTTCAATTGGTCTTAGACATATTTAACATATGAAGTTGCTATTCTAGGCATCTCTTACCCTATCACTTAAGAGACAATAAAAGAAAAGACTAGGAAAAATTGGGTTTTGTAACTAATGTCAAATGAGCCATCTTTTCCTTTTCTATTTTTTGCTGAGAAATAGGCCTTGGCATAAGATGAAGTGACTGGACAAAATCATGTCTCTCAAGTGGAGGTTCTATTGGCTCACCATAATTTTTTTTTTCAATAAGATCTATACAACCAGCATTGGTACTTGAAACCTGCTCCTTACAAAAATTGTTTGAAAATCTGTACCTGGATAATCAAAATTCTGTCAAAAACTAAGTCTGACTTTGACATTTGTATGTTGTTATGCAGCTGCTGGCACGAGAACAGGAATTGGGTGATTGTCGGAAGGAATTGCAGGAGACTAGGCAGAAGCTGGAGGTGCAAGTCAAAGCTGTTACCAGCCTTCAGAAAGAGCTTGTATCCCTGAAAGATTCTGACTCATCATCTAAGAAATCCCTTTTAGACCTACAAGACAAGTGAGGCTTGAGTTCCTCATACAGGGTGTTCGAAAAGTAACAGTGCACTTAGACAACATAGATATACTGGTAATACATAATGCTGATAATTTTTCTTTTCAGGTAACTTGTAAATAATAGTCCTCATTGAAATATTATTTTATCTCTAATGTCTTTCTTTACAGTGTTTTTGTTGTATTTGATCACTAACAACAAATGTATTTTTTTGAATGACTTCTCTTTCTGCAAGGCTAGTGGTATCTCTACTGCACAGTTACTTTTGAAATACCCTGTATTTTCTGAAACGTTTCTATGATATCTGTTCATCATAAATTTAGGCAGGACTTGCTTCTGAAGGCTGTTGAAAATAATCTTCACCTAGTGTTGACCTATACCAGCAGTGATGGATTCAGGGAAGGGGAGATTGGGATATGAGGCAGGTTTGTGGGGTCTTGGAAAATTCAGCAAAACACCTTTCCTCTTTCTCTCAGAAAGTATCCATGGGACAGAACTAAAAATGGTCTCTATAGTTTCAAGGAGGCCTGCTGTATCACATGGCTTCCAATTAGACTTACTAGAATTTAATGGTGATTTCATCTACAGGCCACAATTGGGACTGGCACCAGCACTGCCCAATGGTTAGGAGGAAAAAATTGACCCACCAGCCAAATGTGGCCACTGGTACAGCTCTAATTAAAACCATACCTACTTGCATGGGACAACTCTATCAAGAATTCCGTTTTAATACTTCTTACTTCCCTTCTTATACTTCTGCTGATCTACTTTAATTTGTTTCACAGATAAGTGTGCAGCTGCTAAAATTTAACTTTATTCTTGTAATATACAGTCAACCCTCAATATAGCGCCACCCGATATTACACCACTCTCGCTTAGCACCAACACTTTCCTGAGAACAAATCTTCCTCATAGGCTCATCATTAGTGCTCCCCCATTATAGCGCCACCCTCACATACCTTGCCTTGCTCAAATGTGCCTTATTCAGCGCAAGTCGTACTCGATATAGCACCAAGCAGCATACCGTACCAACTACAATGATCATACCATGCACTACCGTGATGGGAAAAATGATATGCTGTCAGCCTTTCCTTTTGAACGTTTTTATAACGGGATTGTGAGGGATGACTTAGCTTTGGCACAGGCACCGGGGATTAGAGGGGGGCATAAGGGGTCTCTTAATCTGAACTAATCCTGCCTCTTCTTTTCTTTCCCTTGAAAAATAGAAACACCTCTTTCAGTTCAAAGTTTCTCCAGACAATTGTTCAAATGTGTTCATTATCCAGTAATGGGGGAAAAGACAGTTATAAGTGTGAGAGAAAAAGTGGAAGTGTGTTGTTCCAAAGAGGCGCATGCAGCTGAGAGTAAGCAAAACATTTCGAATAATTTTTCAAAGTGGTGTAGTTTTTGTTCTCCATTGGCAGCATGGATGAATTAAAGTGGATTTTTTTTGTTGTTGCTAATTCTCTTTTACATTTGAGTTATTTTCTGTTTTAATGCCACGCTTTTCAATATAGCGCCAAAATCGGTGAAGACCAACAGTGACAGTATATTGAGAGTTGACTGTAATTGGTGTATTCTGCATGGATTAAAGTGGAAAATTGTTAATATTTTATATAAATAAGAAAATTTTTTCTCCATTTTAAAGCAATTTGTTTTGATTTAGCGTCACCCTCATTATAATGCCAAAATCAGCTGAGAACCAACAGTGACAATATATCAAGAGTTGACTGTATTATTATATTTCCTTATTTTACTATTTCTGCATTGAGACAATATGCAGTATTTTATTTTTAGTGGCCCAATAATGATGGAATGGGCTCCATCTGAATTTCAGCCCGTGATCTGATTTTGCATATCACAGTTATGGTACATAATATAGTTTTTGATATTCAGTTGCCTAACTTTTTTTTAATCTGAGGGAGATGGAAGGAACATCTAGCTTGAACAGTAATGGTTCCACTATAACATAAATTTAAGTTTGTCATTTTTATGTTTGAGTTAAAGTGGTGTTTCAGTCAGGAGTAATTTTAGGAAGAGCTTCAATATTGAGAAACTGTGCCTGATGACTTGGGTCAGAATATTTATTGCACCATAACCATAATTCCTGAAAGCATTTCATCATCAAAACATTTTATATTATGGTCACCCCTGCACAATGTACTCACATGCTGACAAAAAGGGATCATTATGCACCTTTCCAAAATAAAGTTGCCTGTTGAGAACCATCTAGTGGGATTGTGACCTATATGTTGCTCCTTTATTGTGATTTTGAGACTCCTGTATATTATTATATCATGTCTTATATACTGATTCAGAAGCGATAAAGAGAGCTTTCTAACTCTGAAATTCATTTTGATCTTGACATGAAATTTAAAGCAATCAAAAATGAAGGGCTATATCCACTCAAGAAGTTTGGAGGGGTGCTCAGTTCTTTTTTGTAATGATATGTTTCCTGCTGCCACTGTTTTTCATGACCTGACCATGTATTTTTGTTGTATAGATATGACCAGTTACTGCATTCAATGGAGATGCGGGAATCACGCTTCAGACAGGAGCGAGAGGCCTTAGAACATGATCTCAGCTTTGCAAAAGAGGCAATGAATGATCTGGAGAGGAGGCTTGCTGAAACAGACTTGGGAGGTGATGAGCATGTGCAGGCACTGTTGAAGGAGGTACTGTCATTTCATGTAAACCCTATGCATTAGCTGATCAAAGGTTGATTAATGCTTTGCTGAGACTCAACTGTTTTGTTTCTCATGCTGTAGAGGGGTATGCTGGAACTACGATTGACAGAAACAAGGGAGGAGCTGAAGAGCATTAAAGGCACATGGAGTGAAAAGATCCACAGTCTGGAAGGTCAAATAGGACATTTGAATGCCAAAATAGTAGAAGATGCCAAGGAACTTTCATATGAGGTTCACAAGAGGCAGGCTGCAGAAGAGCAATGTTCTGTATTACAGCAGGAGTTGCAGCAGCTATCAAACAGGGAAGCAAAGGAGAAGGAGGCATCAACTTCTCAAATGGTGTGGCATCCTGTATATCTGTGGAAGTTCCATGATTTAGCTTACTTTTAATTTTCCATTATAGCTTTTTCTTTTTATCTCCTCCAGTCTGAATTAGAAATGAAGCTGCAAAATGAAAGTCTTCAATCCAGGCAACTGATGCAAGAGGTACAGCGACTCCAAGGAGAGTTACAGGAAACTCAAGCTATTTGCACTTCCTTAGAGCAGAAAGTCAAGGCTTCTGAGAATTTGATAAGGGAGAAAGAGGAGTTGTTGCATCAGCAAGATGTCCAGATGCTTGTTCTAAAGGATGACCTAGGAATAAAAGAAGAGAAACTTATTCTCTCTATGGATGAAGTGATGCATCTGAAATCAGAATTGGAAGAGGAGCAAAAAACATTGCAACAATTTCAAGCTGAGAAGGATTCCTTCATGATGAGAAATGCAGAGATGTCACAAAAGTTAGAATTGCTTCGACAACATAAGGATGAGCTTGAAATGGAGAGAAAAGAGTGGGAAGAGAAGCATGCATCCACTAGTCAGAAAGGAGAGGAGTCCAGAAAGCAGATTTCAGATCTCCAGAGGCAGCTTGCTGAGTTGGAAAAGAGCCTTGGTGAGAAAGTTGAAACTTCTACACACATGACTTCACTGAAGAAAACCATAGATGAATTGGAAACTCAACTTACTGAGAAGAACAAGGTGAGGTGAAAGAAGCCTCTTGGTAATGCATCCCAGTCTGTCATACTGTGTAATGTAGATTTACTTAAATGATTTTGTGTGCTTGGAACTTAACCAAGAGCTCCCTATTCCCTGCAGTACCTTGTTTAAGCAAGTGACTGCTGCTAAATGTTTCATATTGTGAGGAGCATCTAATCTTTGTCTCTCTGGGACATGGACATTGTGGCATCCATATCAAGTTCTTGCCTTACAGGTCTGTAGGAGATCATGTTTATTGGATATATCTGTTCATTGCAGACAATCAAGATGCAGCAGCAGAGAATGTCTGAGCTAAAGAAAAGCCTCCAGAAAGAATTAAAGATGAAGGGTCAGTTGCATCCCCAAGGGTTCATGATGGGGGATGGGAACCTGAGTGATTCTGATACAAGTGGAGGTGGAGGAAACACAGCCAACACCCATCATCCATCCTCAGTTCCACCTCCTGCCCCACATTCTTCCTCTCCATTACCTCCCTTGAATCATCGAGTTGCCACTCTCCCTCTTCATGATGATGATGTCAACTTTCGTTACCTGAAGCATGTGATCCTCCGATTCCTCACATGCAAAGAGAGTGAGGTAAGGCACCAGAGCTCTTTGACTTTCAACCATAGATTAGATGTATAGCAGCCTTATACTGTACGTTGAAGTCCCAGGGATTCTTTGTCACTTACTTTTTAAGCTGAATTAACATGTCATTGATTTTACTCATTTATCTTCTCCTATCAGACACCGTGAAATGGAAGTGACTTGACAGTCGTTAGAAGGATTCTCCTGTTATTCTATCATCTTTGGTTATCATTCTTTAGTCTGCTCCTCCAATTATTTCTCATATTAGGCATTAACCTTTGCATTCAGATTTAAATGCAATGGTCTACCCCAGTAGCTCAACTTTATTTTATGACCATTTAAACTGTTCTACATTTGTAACACTCTAATTAATTTCTGAGGAGGGAATGAAAATTTACTTACATGATGCTTATAAACATCCTCCAAAGATTGTTGATTTTGTTGATTTGAGGTCCAACATTACAAGTGAAACTTGATATATTTTATATTGAAGGTCTGACAGATGAGTGCAAAGGGTTAAAGTGGTTCTTCACTTTTGCTTCCTTTGGATGATTTGCCATAGATATAACATTTAGATTATATTTAAAATTTGTTTAAAATTTGGAAATGATTTATTGCACTCATTTGATTTGCACCACACATTGCATTACAGTGTGCACTACACTTCTAACATGACTATTAATTCTCAGCATCATTTCCATCATTCATAATTCACTTTCTTCTGCTACAGTGATACCAGCTTTAGCATGATCTCAGAGTACTTTGTGGATGTGTTCTGATTCCACATCTAGATTACTGCTTTAAGTTCTCAGTACATTAGCTATGGCCTCTGTCTCCTTTTGAAGGAGCTTAATGTTTTTTTTGCTTTTGAACATCAATGGGGGGGCTGCTTAAGTGGTATATGATTTTACTATCTCCAGACACAGTCAAAAACTGACTGCTACTCACCAGCATTGATATGACTATTCAACCATAGTGGCTCTGCCACATCAAGTAGTATTACAAAGAAAAAGAGTTACAAATTTTTTTAAACTACTCCTCATATGTTTGAGTCAACAAAGTTTATGCAGATTTACTCCATTCTTGCAAACACACTTTTTGTGAGGTGTTAAGCAAATGTTTTATGAAGCAGTTACTTTTTGAATGGAGTGTATAGACCTCAACTATGATATAGGCCCTGCTTTGTCAGTAGTTTAATCTCCATAGGCAAATTTTTTGGAAGTCTGTTAGGTTCTGCAGAGAAGAGTGTTTGTAGTAGGTGGAGGTTCAGAACTTAGTTTTCTGACATTTAATGGGAGTTTGATCTGCAAAGGAACCTGGAATTTCCTCCTAAAGCTAAGGTTATAGGCAGGACATAAGTTGGAGGCAAGATTCTGATGGTTCACCTGGTGAACCATCAGAAAATGGCCTGTATCTGGATTCAGCATTTCTTTTCTGCTTTTCTGCATAGAAATGTCCTAATCCTGTATAGTTTTTTTTAAATTATATATTCCATTTTCCTTGGAAGTTACTGGAAAATAAGGTGACTTTAATTCAGTTCTTGAATAAGAACCACTTCTCAGTCATCTCAGCAACCTAAATCATGTAACTCCTGTAACTGCCTTTGATTCCTCCTCACCTGTACCATACTTCATACTGTTAAAAATCCTTTTCATTGCTTTGAGTTGTTCTAACTATATAACCTGGGACTCCAATCAAGACAACTATTTATGACCTGCCCTATATATTGTTGTATCTGTGAAAATATCTTCTACAGACGCAGCATCTTGTGAAGGCCATTTCTACACTCCTTCGCCTTTCATCTGCAGAAGAAAAATTTCTCAAAGACACTACAGACTGGAGGTTGTCATGGTTTGGTTCAAAGCCAGACATCCATCAGGCCTTCCATCCATAAGACTGACAGCTCCTTGCCTTGGATATGCTGGTGCTCTTCTCATTCCTGTTTTGGTGTTGATCAGGTGTTTTGAGTCTTCATGAGATGCTTTTATGTGCCTTTCCAATTCTGCTACTTTAAGATGTCTAATGGCTGGATAAATCCCTTCAAGGATCTTTGTAGAAAGTGTAGTAGGAAGCAAGAATCTTTCATCAATATATACTGAATTTCAGTTGATTTTTATGAGTGCTTCAAGTAGATATGATACAGAGATGGGGTGGAATCAGTGCCAAGAGCCACCAGTGACTGCTGCTGCATTGTCTCATTTTTTATCTTTATTCATTTCCAATTTTTTTTTCTATGAATGAGCATAGACATATATTTGTTTCAACTTCCTGATGCCTTGTTGCTCAATGGAAGTTTTTTGGGCTCCAGACATATCAGGCATTTTATTGCAAAGGGCTGCTGGTGAGAAATGAGGGCATTACCCATATGAAAATGGCTGAAATCCTGAAGTCATAAAACTTCAAAAAAACTCAAGGCATCATGCCTTGAGTTTTTTGTGAAGTTTTATGACTTCAGGATTTTTTCAGTGGCATTCATCATTGAGAAAAATAGCTAAAAGACATAAATTTCGCCCTCATCTTCTGAGGTGCAATTGTTGGTGTGCTCTGAAGAGGGCCATTTCAGCCTACTGTGAAGTGATGCAACCTCGTTGATAAACAACAGCACAGCAACTGAAGTACTTGTTGGAAGGTGGTGAAATAATGTGTTCTTGTTGGACAACCCTGATGGGCTCAATGACTGTTATTCATGGACAAAGGTATGGTACATGGATGCTACAAAGAAGAAGTGACCGAAGTGGGCATAAACCTGCATAAATAGATGGTATGGTATTGAGAAAATAATTCAATTCAGGTTTTGTGCTTACAATTTTGCAAAATTTTATTTGAATAATTTGAACTTTTGGACTCATGGATGACAATTGAGTCCTTTTGGTTGCAACTGTTTGTTCTCCCTGAAAACTCAATTCCACAACCCTTCTTAAAAGTATTGTAGTTGCTTGCCTGTATGAAGGATGAATGCTCACTAAATGCACCAATTGTAGCCACTTTCATTCGAGTAATGTCTTTCTTTCTGTGACTGCAAGAACCATCAATGATTTTAATGGAAATCTCACTACCATCCCTTTTTGATAACGTGCTTGATGCCTGAAGCATTCAGAATTAAGCACATTTTTTGGAATGCAAACATGCCATAGATACATGCAAATGTAAATGTGACAATGCACCAACTGACTCCACCAGTGACACCAGCCCAGTATCATATCTGCATGAAGGAGACATATCAGAGTATGTAGAACAGTGCTTCCAGCTATGTACAAATGCTGTAAAACAAAATGCAATCCTTATTTGTGCATTATCCTTGTTTCCTACCACCCTCTCTACAAAGTTCCTCTGGATGATATTATTTGGGCCAGTCATTGTAACCATGTGGAGAAGTCTGACTTCATTTCTCATTTCTGTCTGATTTCATTTCATTAATTTGGCCATCCTCTTGTGTGGTTCCTTGGAATCAGGAAGATTCTCTGCTGGCTAAATTTTTTGGAATATTCCTTGATGCTGCATCTCATCCCATCTTTTAACCAGTGTTGAGTTTCAGTATCAATGCACCATTTGAGTAGAATACTGAATTTGCTTAAGATTTTTACAGTCATCATACAGTGTAAGTTATTGTTTAGGGTGGCAGGGTTTTGGATATTACCTACATGCTTCTCTAATTTTCTTTCAAGCAGAAATGTTTTATCTTTGTGACGCTGAATGCCCTCCTTTTCTGTTCGAAAAGTAAAATAATGTTTTGATACTCTGGGGACAGTTGGTATCTTCAGTTGCAGCACTGCTCCAAGTTAAAAAGGGGTTTCACTTGTATCTTGGTGTGAAGGTGGAGAGAGGTAATATCAATGAAGAATCAGTTTGCCATTTTTCTCTTGATATTCACCACCTGTGATATGGTCTATGGAAGATCAACTGGATCCCATTAGTTGATATGCTTATTCATGTCCCCTATGGGATTAAATATGATATGGGTGGAAGGGAAATCAATTCTCCTTAGCTTAATTGCTAGATGTCTAGCAATATGAGAAGGAAATAAAGAATTGCAAGATAAAAATTTTACAATATTAATTTCTACCTTTTGAGTTTAGTTTGTTATGCCAATTCCTTCGCCCTCCATCCATATCTCACAATTAAGTGGCCCTCTCAGCAAGGAAATTGGCGTTTCTTCTTGATGCATCTAATGTGACAACTATTCCATTGGTCATGTTGATCAACTGGTAAGAGGCTAATATTGAAACGAAGCGATTGCAGTGAGACATTGACATTCAACTGTCATTTCCTGTATTCTTGCTGGACGAAATGATACAAAGAACAAATAAAAGATTGTTTGTTTTTATTAGTAATTCAACTTGTATGCCTGGGTGTATGTGGCTGATGTCATGATATCACTCTCAGCTGGCTGCCTTGGAAGGACACTTATTGCTCATAGCCTACGAATAAATTCATATCAACGGACTATACAGTGTCCAGGCATGTGCAGGACCCTGTAAATTCAGAATATTTGTTTTAGGAGTGCTTATCTTGAGCTCTATAAGAGGGCCTATTTTAATTCTCGGTGCCAATCGTTTGTTCAAAGAGAAGACTGACATGGTGAAATGATATTTAGCGACAAAAACCATCCTTCGTCGTTCTGCAGATTCCTGGTTACATATGATGGAGTTGCTCTTATATCTTCCATTTACAGCTTTCATGCTAAGTTTCTTCGACACGGAAGTGTTAGGAATGCATTGAGTGACGGGAGGGTCAAAGATGCATCCTTGTCTTTATAGAGTTTCGGCGACACCCGTAACAGTCCATCCGAGAGGTGGGCTTGGTTTTGAACTTGTCAAGACCTTCAGTTAACGATACCTAAGAAGCACTCTATGCCCCACAAACCATGTGAAGTGCGCGATCATCAGGAAGACTACCGACGAGTGAATTCCCGCTACGGCGCACCGCCTCCATTGACGAATGTCTTCTTCACGAATGGGAATGAATGTCTTGCCTGGGATATGCCAGATCCCAAATCCGTGTTAGGCACATTAAAGGTAGATTTATTCCTCGTCAAAAAGTAGTAGTACAGGTTACTTTTTCCTAAGCTCTAATGATTCCATTCAATTGGACTGATCATTCTAATAGTTTTCGGGTGAATGGCATCGCAATTTAGCATCCATGATGACAATGCACCATTGCTATGTTCTGCAGCTAAGGGCGTACAAGGCACATGAGAGCGCATTGGCACGAAAGTTGATCGCGTGAGGAAGTCATTATTTAGACGACCTATGTCAATGGGAGTGCTTCCAAGAGGAGCAGGGTGATCCAAAAAAAAGACTCGTCCGCTTCCATTTCATTGCCACGTCTGTATTAATGAAGACGCGTTCATGCTATTTAGGGGGTCATTAGTGCTATTCTTCTGATATAACACTTAATTTCAAAGAAATATGGATAATAGTTTTGCGCGCAATTTTTTTTGAGGCACCAGGTTGAACGTCGCAATTGCGCAGCATAGTTTTCTTACACATGCTGGGATGAACGTCCTTCGAGCTGTGACTCGAGATCAAGCATTGGCAGGCCCGCCTGACAGCGTTTTTCGAATCAGGATAGGGCACATTGAACATCGCTTTCAAGCATTATTGGTAATATCAATCCTGACTTTATTTATGACTGTAGCTATCTAAGCCTTGGAAGAGCTCTTTATTGAAAAAAAAAGAAGTTAAGGATGTTTATCCTGGTGTGTTAACACAGCAATGCACGCGCAAATGCGACTTTTTTTTACTTTGCGCCGTAAAAAAAAAATTGCAGAACCTATAATCTTATTTTCTCGTTGTACACTGCGTTAGATCAGGGAAAAGTGGTACTAATGATCTTCCAAATTTCATGAGCATGCCTTGAATAGCACGAATGTAGCAATCAAATGAAAAAGGGTGAGCTTTTTTGGCCCGCCCTGTAGAGCCTCTATTTTTAGGGCCAGCATGCAAAAATGCTGGCTGGCACTCTCTCACTAATTACCTGTATGCGATATGGGATTATATTTCTCTTGAAGGAGAATAAGCAGCCGAATAGCCGTTCCACTGCAGCACTTGCTGCAAGGGGACATTGCATTTGGTCAGCTTTGCCAATGATTTCATGGATTAATGTAATCATGAACTAATGGCCACTTTCACCTGGAATTATGTCACTGGGAAGGTAACGGCCATTGACTCTTTCCTTGAAAAAGAGGCTAGTTACCGGTTCCATTACAATCCCCTGCATGTGTCTCCACACATCAGCAGAAATAGGTTCAAGTTGTGCTTGAGCTGCCAGGTACCAGCACGACGGTTCTCCATCCCATTATGTTCGCGGTTTCCTCCACAATTTTCTGGGGCGATGAGGCCCAATGGAGTGCCAAGCCAGATCCCCCCCATTATCTAGCCTTTCTGTTTTTTTTTTTTCGTTTTTTTTCCCCCCCGTTTTTTTTTTTCTTTTCTCTGGGGTCGTCTCAAACAAAGGCGGTTTAGCGTTCTGTGACTTGGAAATGTATTGGCTCTGAATACTGGTGTAATATTCAGCGATAGTATGCATCTACAAATCCTCAGAATATTTTCTCAAAAGCAATTGAAAACTTCGACATCCCGAGTCAGAATGTGCCTCGCGCGAGAGGCGCTTTGAAAACGTGATACGATTTTCTAAAGAGTTCAATAATTAAATATTCGTGGAATATGAAATTCTAGTTGTCCTTTTTTTGCTTTGAACCAGAAAGAAAGAAATGTCACACCGCAGGATATATGAATCATGTTATAATTATATAACAGGGCATCTTCAGGATTCCAATCGGTACATTTTATACTCAAGCAGCATGTTTATGTCAATATTATTTTAAATTGATGTTAATTTTTGTCTAACATTCATACGAATTTTTCATAATAAGTAAAACACCAGCTTTGAAGAGGATTGATGCCGCCATGCAGTTCCGATTTTTCTCCACAAATTGAAGTTCTGGTGTACTCAGAAGAGTTCACCAGAACTCATCCTTGAGGGTACTGAGGAGTATCAAGATATCCTACTGCTCCTCTCTTCTACACCTTATAATGACCTTTGGGTTCATGAGCATGACTCTCATAGATACTATCTACGAGTACTTCGGTTGTGTAATTTAAGAAGAGTCTAGCGTTCTACTCTTCCCTATTCCCGTACACTCCTGTATTCCCATACTCACCTTCAACACTTGATAACTCCCTGAGTCATATATTGCAATAAAAATAACAATTCCATATTTCCATCATATATGTTTATAAATTGCACAATAAGAAGAGGAAGGATGGGAGGAAAACCTTATACTATATCAGGAAAGCAGGTAATTAATTGCATATACAGGATGAAAGGAACATGGGTTCCATCTAGTGAGGACTCTTGGTACTGCAACTATGGGAGAGTCAGCTGAAGTTACATATGCATGGTCTGACGTTGATTTTGCATTAAATTTATATCATATACTTTATATCAGGTGAAGTCATGTCTAGTTCATATGCAATACACATCCACATTGGTGATGTAAATAGAGGAATGTAAATTTTATATGAACGTGATATCATTTGCATGACAATCGCAATAAATTGACATTGCAAAAAAATTGATATCTTGTTTACATAAACGTGCTGCTTGGGTAGTAACGAACAGGTTTCACTCTCAAGCTCCTAGTTTGACCATTCCAAAGCACTCTATAACCTAGGTAATTTTTTTCCGACTGCAGCACCACGATGGTGCACCTCTGAAATGAGACGCCTGATTAAATGACTGATTAGTACATAGATGTTTAAGCTATCGTAATCATTATGTGGGATTATTAAAAGAACGTGGAGTTGTCTAGATCTCCAAGGGCGCAGAAAATAGGTCACGGTTTAATGGAGGGGGGGAGGGGACCTTTGGCACTGACGTAACTGGTTTGTGCCCTTATCTGGACGTATTCCAATGCGTGGCACTGTACTGTTCTTCAGAGAATCCAGATGTAGCAAGTGACATGTCCAGGAGGCAAAAAAATGGACTTCTGTTCTACGCAGGCGCGCGGTTCCTGGAACGATAAAAATGTAGAACAGTAGGTACATCCTTCATCCGATCAAGTGACCGTGCGCGTGAGCAAGGAGTGTCAAAAGGCAGAGGTGATCCAACCTACCTCATTACTTATGGCGGCGCGCATTCGTCCACTCGCCTAGAAGACCTTTAGCCTAAGCTGAGGCTCTTCGTAGCCTGTCGTAAGCCCTAGGGCTAATGAAATTTGGATGTAATACATTCGTCAGGCTAAGGTGATCGAACATGGACGTGGGTAGCGTTTTGCTTAAATAGTTATTGTCTGAAGTTTTCTGCTATAGCTAACTTTAGGCATATGTTGTCCTTGTGAGCGCAGACTCTCCCATAGTTTTCCAATCGAGTTGACGAGTTTCTGTGACTAACACTTAGGGCTAGTCGTGCATCAAATCGACACAGATAGCATTGAAACATTAATTTTGCGCAAGTATGAACCACTTTTATTTGCAATTAAACAAGCTAGTGCATAAAACTTTCAGAATTCTGTTTTTTCTTCAGCAGTTCAGGCCTTGTCATCCCTATCCTTTGGGTTTCTGAGGGCATGGAAACCTTGACTCAAAAAGTTTTTGCACTAATTATTTCTATTTCACTTATACACTAGTTTTTCTTAACTCTCCTGCTATTATTTTGTGAAATGAATGCTGACCCTGTTATTTATTTTGTTTTGAATTGTATGTTGTGAGAAAAGATCAACCAAACAAAAATCTTGAGTCTTAAAAGATTTTAATAGAGCAATAGCTGATTCTTATCAAGCCATGCCCCTCCACTCATTCCATTGCACCATTTGCCATGGGTGCATGAAATTGTATGTTACCATTGGAAGGAAAGGACATATTGAGTATTTTCATCGATGAAATAAAAGGGAATTGTATAGCACTTGGAACAACAGATTTGTTTGATTGCTGCTCCTCATGTTCATAGTAATTGCATGTAAAGGCAAGGGCTTCCTTTTTTGGGGAGGGTCACTCTGTATGGCATGTGGTAGTCACCGACTGCTTTTCATTACCCCTGTCACCAAATATCAATAAGTGAACATTGCAAGTACTTGATCAATGCAGTTCTCAAAATACTCAATATAGCCTTGTTTCTTTATCCAATAGTAGTTGAAATTCTTTCATTTGCATGTGAGAAGGAATTTAATTTGTTCATTCTGATATATAACATCCAAATTCCCATCCCTAATCAATATGTAAGTCCTGTTTTCCTGCAACAGTAATTTAGATAATTGGCTATATAACTTTTTTAAATACTTCAAGTAGATATTGGGTTGATTGCTGCACAGGCCTAGGGCCTTGCATTGGCAATGTTTGAAGAAGATGACAGTGACTATTCCTTTGAGCGTGAGCCCAAGTACAATTATCCACCATCACCGATGTCTGCAAAGCATATGCCTCCAGGCCACTATCTTCATGAACTTCCTTCAGAAGATGAAGAAAGAATTGGTACACTGTTCAAGCGTCTGGATGTAAATAACGATGGGCGCATCGACATTAGTGATCTCACAAAAGGCCTCAAAGAAATGGGTGTACCTTATTCATCCAGTTCTGCCAAGGTACAGTGTGGTATGCTACCCTATATTTCTGGTGTGATGTATATAGGCCTTGACCCAGACCTGCCTGTGTTTAATAGAACCTGCACCTTACCAAAAGAAACTCTGAGCACTCTTGTTTAGGCCTTGAGTGGGCATGGTCATTTCTTATATCTCTTTTGTTGCTTAAAAATCTCTTTTGTTGTTTCCCTGCTGCACTGATGGCAAAAGAATGTAGTTTTAAAGGTCTTTCCATTGTCTTTAATTTAGCATATAACAGAATAATTAAGACTTACCTGCATCAAAAGTGACAGTGATATCAACATTTAGGTTCACAACCTGATCTTGGCTCAGACATCTTCATCTTGGAATTATTTGAAATAGGGATATGATTCAGGTGTTTTTTAAAATTATTATTTCAAATTTAAAAAATGCAGTAATATAGAGAGTTTATGCTTGTCTGGATGTTCAGACTTAACTTGAACCTCTCCTTTTCAGTTTGGTCTTGTTAGCCTCTAGGTGTAATATTGTCAAAAAGTACCAATTGAGAGGTGGGTTCAGTTCTTACAAACCATGAAATTTTCATAGGATCAGCAGCTATTGCCTAGACTTTACTTGCCATGAATGGTCAACTAACTCCATCAATTCAATGTATTTTATCTACTAACCATGTCAACTGAAAACAACATAGTTTTGTCTTTCATTAATATTATTACGTATGTTGAATATCTTGGCCTCTTGTTATCCTCTCAATTCTATTGAGAGGATAACTCAAGTCTTTTGAGAGGTTTTGAGTCTAAGGACCATTCTGCCTCATATATAAGTAGTCCAGAATTCATGCAAGTTAAAAAGCTTGTGTTCTTTTGCTCAGGAACTACTCCAACAAGGTGATGTCACAAAAAGTGGAGATCTGAGCCTTGCAGAATTCATTCATTATATGGTGGGGCATGAGAAGAGATTGCGACTCATCTTCTCTCATCTTGACCGCAATCAGGATGGTAATTTTGATTGTCTTTTCAGCAATCTATTTGCGTTATAAATAGATTGCAGATTGCTCAGCCACCTTGGGTATCATGCATTTGACTTCCAGCTTCTGACAGATTTGTGAAACCCTATAGAATTTCATGTCCTAAGTGAGTAAGAGAAAAGTATCTATTTTGAATCTTTATTTGTTGCCTTCTTTTATTTTATTCTTTGAAAATTTTTAGATTTTAATGTCACATCGATCATTAGGTCTCTAGAAGGATAGTGAGTTCTATTAAGTCTCTTTAAGAAAATGAACATATTAAAAAGGCATTTAAATTTGCATTTGTGCTGTTTTGCATGGAAATGTAGTATAGGTGTGCAACTTCTGTTCAGTCAGGAAACACAGTGATATGGCTTCACACTTTTACTCAGGAACTACCCTGCAAAAAGGACTCTTGTCTTGAAGGTTAATTAAGAGTGTACTCTTTCATTTAGCCAGGGCATATTTTGTATGGGATGTGGAACTTGTGTAAACTCTTGGAAAGTCCATATTGGTTGAACACCTGATAGGTTGTTCATGTCCTGTTCTCTGTTCGATGTGATGTATCCCCTTTTCTTTCCCTTTATCCTCCATAATTTATTTTCATTGTCTTATCTACTTTTCCTTTTTGTGATTTTTCCACATGCTGTAACTTTGTTTTATTTTCATCTCATCATTGCTAATTTCTTGCAAGTTCACAGTACTATAGGTTGGAAAATAAATAAAAGATGCATCTGTTTTATAGGCAAGATAGATCTAGATGAGCTGATGGTTGCCTTTCATCAGCTTGGTGTCAAGTTAAACCAACAAGAAGCTCAGAAGCTTGTTGAAAGGTGGGTTATTGCTCCATCAGTAGTGTATAAATTCTTAATTTCTTGTTGTGTCATGTTGCCTCTCTTGCTTCCTTCAGTGTTTTTTTTTCTGTTTCTCATCTTTGTGCCATAGAGTACTGCATGGAACGAAATTTTGCACTGCAAACCTTCTGTATGCATTGATGTATTTCTTTCAAGTTTGCCATAGCAGGTCAAGTGATTGACATTGGCTAATATTAAATTGTGTTGTGCTTGTTTCTTTTGGGAATTTCAAGGCTTAGTCTCAAAAAGAGTATTTGATATGCATGCTGGATCTGTGTTGTATTTTGGATGCTTGCTTTCTTATAGAAACTTCGAGAATCTATGTAAGAGATATAAGACTGAAAATACAGCATTGGCCCAGGAGGAGCTACCAGGTTACCCCAGGTGAAAGGAGTTGAGCTCATGTTTCTTTTTTATACCCTGGTTGCTCATGTTCATGATTAAATCTTCCATGACATTCAAGGATCAAAGGATACTATGTTGCAGTTCAGTGGGTTCATAACATCTAGAGTTATGAACGTCATTGTGATGCAGAAATTTTCTCTCACTTGCTGAAACTTATTTTTCCTTTTTGTCACTATCTTTCTGCTGTGCTGTCCAATTGCATGAGTGTGATTCAAGTAGTCTACTTTATTCTGCTATAGGCAAGATCAATTCCATTAATGATATCCTAAAGATATTACTAGCTCTGGTACCTGTAATGCTAAACACACTCATATATTTACTTTTTGAGTTATAGGCATGTACATCATTAGCCCACTTGCATTTGCTTGCCTGTCCAAAAATGTCCCTGGACGCAGTGATCTCCCATCATCCATCTGAGCTTTTATTGGTGCAGCAACAGAGGATGGTATACAATATAGTTTAATCCTCATAGTTTTCATTCCTATGGTGTGGTGTGATGGGGATCTGTTTGTTCAGGCCCATTTTAAAAGTGGACATGTGGTTTCTTTTGTGCTCTTTGGTTTTTCTGTCCTTTTGTCTATTAGTCTACTTTTTGCTCACTGAAAGGTTATACTTTCATACAAGAAACATTTATTAGTTAAGCTTTATGAGCTGCATTCAGAAAGTACTGATCAAAACTCATTCATTGAATTTCAATATGAAAAGCAAGCAGTTCAATCATTCTCACTTCTCAACATTTATTCATACTTTGCACTCTTCTTCAGCCAGTCTTGAAAGCTTGCAGGATTCTTGCAAAAAACTCTTCAGGGGTATATGTAATCTGCTTGGTAAACAGCCAATCCCAGAGCTGAGGCACTTGAACATGTTGTGCTATGAAGCTGATCTTTGAGACTGGGGAGCTAGCAAAAGTTAATGTGAGCTATTTCTGGAATGAGGAGCATTGGGCAGTTCAGCAAAAAATTAGGAAAAAACTATCTGCAGACATCCACTTACTTGCAAGGTCATCTGGTCTTCTGTGAGTTGCCTTTGAACCCATTAAGATTAAACTTTCCTTCTATATTCAGCTTGTCCATCAAAAATGTGTGAGCAGATCCTACTGAAATGCTATTCCCATGACTGATTCATGCATGTCATCTATATCAATGCTGTCCACAAGGTCACAAATTTTGTCATGTTGCTGTCAGCAGCTGTTCACTGCATGGGTCATCTTAAACATGTTCTCTATCATTTTTAGGGCTTTCAGCTATCATTTTTGAGGGGCCCTGATTTGCAAGTATCCCCACAAACTTCAGTCAATTGTTGAAGAATGGCAACCAATTTCTTCCCTTACAGTGTCAAAAACTTGATGATGGTTCTCTTCTCAACTAGAGAAGATGCTCCCATCTTTAACCAGTGCTTAAAACAGACAACAAAATTGACTGCTACTGGCAAACTTTTTGTTTGAAGAAGTTTATGCTTGCAGGACTGACTCCACTAGTATACTTTTTACAAGGATACTAAAGTACCAACTTGTACTGCTTCAGCAATTAATGTCAGTTATTTGATCAGACCTTTTTTGATGCACCTCTAGGTTTTAGTCATGAGACACTTGTGCTAAAGCAAGAGCTACCTTGCTGTGCTTGTGCAATTGTTATAGTGAGAATTAGTATAATATCTAATAATGACCATTATCATCATAGCAGCCAATATTGAGATTGGTGACTTCTTTCCAGCTTGTGTATGTTCTTATGCTTACAGAAGCCAAGGTGTGTCTTAGAAAAAACTTAGTAAATAAATCAGTTAAGTAGCAGTAGTCCTCAGGATCTCTTTATTGAATTTTTGATTGCTGAATAACTGCCAATTCTAATTTACCTTAAGAGACTAATTCTGGCTGCTGTATCCAGGAAATTAACTTGACATTGGGATATTTTCATGTCCAGGATGGACAAGGAAGGAACACTAGAGATCACATTTGAAGAATGGAGAGACTATCTCCTCTTCCATCCCAGTGGAGATATCCATTCCATATTAAGTTATTGGAGACATTCCACGGTGAGTGCATTCCTGCATTCATTTTTGCAGCATGGGAATTTCTCATTGTTCCATTGCACATGCATAAGTTTATGCCATTTTCATACTTATGATGCATCTTCCTCATGGCATCATAGGAGACCCATACTGGTAGGCTGATGTTGATGGTTTTATTGCTCCTTTCCTGTGTAAACACACCACAGGTGAATACATAATTACTCTTTCAGATCTTGTAACACCTACTGGGGAAATTATTTTTTATCCTCCATTCTCTGAGTGTTGGTAAATGTCTAAGTAATGATGTGATATTAACAGAGTGAAAGTAACTCATTACAGTCACTAATCTGGTGATTAAGAAAATTTTCCTCTGGAGTAGTTCTTGAAAATTGTAATTATATCCTTCTTTGTGGAAAATAACAATCATGACCGACACATTACATTTTTCTTGCTTTACATGTACAATTCTAAGAGTGACCCATGTCTTACATAAAGCCACCATGAAGACACAAAGCAGCATGAATATGTCTTAGTTTTTTCAGAGTCAGAAATGTCAATGTTTGACAAATTGGAGTGGTTGTTGCTCTACAAGTAAACGTTTGAAGGCATTGAAGATATTCAACTGAGTGTGTAAATGCAGAGCTGCTTCACATTAACAAAAGCAGTAGAGAAATAATGAACTGGAGCTTTATCTTCAGCCCAGTCAAGAAACTTGTGTCCATTGTCTCTGAAGGTATGTTTCTGGTGTTCTCAAAGGTGAAAAAGGTATACAAAAATGTAGGTCCCCCATATCCGACAGTACTGTTGGGGTGCATCTGTTTAGTGGAGCAATATTTTCATCACACTATGAAGTAGAAATTATGAAAACAAGGTTGAGGAACTTCTCTTGCAATGCAATTAAAAACAAGAATGTTGGTTAACTTATGTTCTAACAATTATCATCCTCTTCCTTAAGAAATAATGCTTTTCCAATTGAAGCTCTTGCACTCACCTTTCTCACAAACGTAGACAAAACTAGAGAAGTAGCTTGTAAGTGGGAGTACTTACTTTAGGATACAATTAATTTCTTATTTGCAAACTGTTACTTTTTACTGACTAATCTATTCCTATTTCATTTCTATGGCCTATAGAAAATAACCTAAAACTCTGCCTCATGGGAAATATACCTGTCATGAAGTATAGCTATGATCCTTGAATATTAGTACTACCTTTTGGTCAGTGGCCAAATACACCAGACATATCTTTCCTTACCCTGATCCTTGTCTCTCTCCCTTCCTGGCTTATAGGTCACTCCCACATCCCTGCTATTCTGTTTCTTCTTGGTCTCCACTGCCCTTTGTCCAAAACACCAAAGCTTTTCATGCCAAGTTTCTGAAATCTTATCCCTGCAAGTTATGGTGGCTCAAAAAAGTCCTTTGAAAAGTCTTAATAATGAAGTACCCATTGAACTGGATTAGCTAATCGTCCATTGAATGTAGTTGAAGGCACCATAGTCTTTTTGAGAAGTGCAAAAGTTCAACTCAGGAGAAATTCTTGTTCTTCTTTCAGTTCCTGGACATTGGGGAGGATATGAACATCCCGGATGACTTCACCCCTCAAGAGTTGATGACAGGGCTGTGGTGGCGGCATTTGGTTGCAGGAGCCATAGCAGGAGCTGTGTCAAGAACATGCACAGCTCCATTAGACCGGCTCAAGGTTTTCCTTCAGGTAATATACACAATTGCACTGGTCTGTGTCATCCAGGATAAGAAAATGCTTCAACACATGAAAACTAGGATTATGGGAAAATATGGATCCATTCCTTGAAAAGATAAAGAAAATGCTGAGAAAAATATGGATACAAAGACAGGTGGGTCTACAGGAAGAAGGTAGTAAGGAATTTGAACGAGTTATAATTTAAACAGAATGGTTAGGAAGGGTTGAAAGGTTCAAGATTCTGGAGAACTTTTAATTTACAATTCTTTTGTTATGTTCATGTGATTGAAAGAATTTCATCCCATTGCTGAAGTTGGGCAAGATTTTACAATATGCAAGAAATCAAAGTGCAGTTTGCTCATGAATGATTCTTTCTAAATAAACTAAACAGAAGTAGTAGCTTGCAGTTTCAACTTACTATGCAAAAGTTTTGCAGTTTCTGTTTAATTTGCACCATATGTATGATTTTCTCCTATATGACTCCTAGGTTCATGGCACATCTCCCTTTGGAGGATTCTTGGGGTGCTTAAGGCATATGCTGCAAGAGGGGGGAGTGCAGAGCCTTTGGAGGGGGAATGGCATCAATGTGTTGAAGATTGCTCCTGAAACAGCTTTCAAATTCATGGCCTATGAGTATGCTAAGAGGTTCATCAAAGGGAAGTCTCATCGGGAAATCACAATAGAAGAACGATTTGTCGCTGGCTCCTTTGCTGGAACTTTCTCTCAAACTGTGATATATCCTCTGGAGGTGAGTGCATTCCACTGAATTTCATGCCCTCTGCACCTCCACTTTTCCTTGGAAGTAATCAAAGGAGAATCTGAGCCTCTTGTATGTATCTTACATGGCTTGCATTGTATACAGGCCCTACTGTGTTTTGGTCAATTATGTATCCTTGTCCTTATTTATAGTTTAACCCTTTCACTGGTGCTGACATAAATACATGTCATGATGTTTCTATACTACTGTGTACATTCACCCATGTTTCAAAGAATATCACCCTCTCCTGACCATAGAGTGTATATAGATGTCTCTGGAGAGACCTTCACAGCCTCAAGAAATACAAGTGCCTTTGGCATCTTGGGACTGAAATTGTGCAGGGGAATGAATAGTATGATGCTGGTGTGGAGGCTCCCAAGCAAGGAGCCTTGGGCAAATTTCCTCTTTTGCCTTACCCCTTTCCATGTGCCTGCTATCAACTCCAGTCCTAAGATAGCAGCTGTGCCCAGAGGAGTGTAGCTCCTTGCACCATTGGGGAGGCCCCTCCATTATGCACTCTCTATGCTCCTGACATACTGGAATAACTTATTTGTACCAGAAACATCAAATACTGTGTGAAGGATAAATAAAATAGTTTATTAATAAGAATAATATTGATTTTGTTCAGAATTGTTTATTTTATGTCCAGGTGTTGAAGACAAGACTGGCTCTGAGGAGAACAGGTCAGTACAAAGGCATTTCAGATGCTGCCAAGAAAATCTTCAGGCAAGAAGGTATGCGAAGTTTTTATCGAGGCTATCTTCCAAATCTCCTTGGCATAATTCCATATGCTGGCATTGATCTGACAGTTTATGAGGTCAGTCCATGCCTTTTGACCTTGTTACATGTCATTGCAGTCTTCTACAGTGCTTTTCAGTGTCATATTGAGATTACTTCTCTTTTTTTTTTCAGACACTGAAGAATGCTTACCTCAGTGGTCACACCGACAATCCTAGTATATTTGTTGCCTTGGTGTGTGGAACAACTAGCAGCACTTGTGGGCAGTTGGCTTCATACCCTCTGGCACTAGTGAGGACAAGGCTACAAGCACAAGGTGAGTTGGACTCTTCATTTCTGTCTGTACCAGTTTTGACAGTGATTTGAAGTGTAAAACTTTCTTAAACACAGCTGTCCTGGATGTGGGAACTGCACATGCTGTAACAATGATGAGCCTTTTCCGTACCATCATACAGACAGAAGGTATGACTGGTCTTTATCGTGGCATCACACCAAACCTTATGAAGGTGGTGCCTGCTGTGTCCATCAGCTACATGGTCTACGAAAAGTGCCGTAATGCCCTAGGAGTACAAATGACGTGACATCTGCTTTTGTGTAGTCACAGAAATAATTTCTTTTGGAAGTATTTTAGAATCACCGTATTCTGGTTCATGATACTCTTGAGTCTCTCATCAGTGGTGCTCCTTGTTATGTCCAAAGCAGTTGGCCTGGTGCTACACAAGTTACAATGTCAAGGAGGGGGAACAGAATAGGAATTGGACAGAATAGGCTGGGTGGGAATTGCCAGGAAATTCAGAATAGGAATTGAAAGAAGTAAGGAAAAAGCAAGTGAGAATGCTAACTGTGATCTCTTCCATGTTGCAATATTTGCCATTCAGGGATATGGGGCTACAACTGCAGGATAATGGGTATTTGCAAAAGCATCAATGTGTGACTGCATTCCAATCCAGGTTCTGATATCTTAGCATTAGGCTGTTGGAAGGTAACTAGCCAAGATCAATACAGTGAGTTCAACTGTGATTTCAAATAAATTTTGGAAGGGAAAGGAGGAGATGGTGGGTGTGCCTTTGTGAGCAGCTTGCCTGTCCTTACCCATGTCTGCTGTCTATGCAATATATTTTCATTCCTCCATTGCATCATGTGCCATTCTCCAGAGGAATTGTAGTAGCTGGTTCTTATAGACTTTGCATGAAATTTTTATTCACCTTTTTCTTTGCTTCTTGGGATTTGAAAGAATTGAATCCTTCCCTGGTGATCATGTATTCCTCATTGGTTGCATGACAGAGTTGTGAGTTACACATGCATAAGTTCCTTTTTCTATCTATTACATCTGAATGAAGTGGCTTCATAATTTATTGTGATTTCCATGATTCATTGTTCTGTTGTATTTTTTAGGGCTGCAACTACATCAGAATGCCAATATCTATGTACTGATATTCTGCTGATGAAATTGCACCATCTAATAATACCAAATCCCTGGCTAGGAAAACCCTTGCAAACCTGTGAACGGAAACGATGTTCATGGGAATGGAAACACATGGGCAGGCGGCCTGCTTTGTCCACTTGTATCTTCTTCCTGGGAAATTCCAATTTGTCGCCTCAAGTTCACAGGAAAAAAAGTTTTTTCCTACACTGATAAATCCTAAGAACTTCATTTTTCTATTTAGTTATCTATGGTTTCCAGTGACCCAGTGGATCCTTAAAAATATCAGGTCATCCCATAAGTAATGTGGTTTTTTCGCATTGCCAAACTTGTGTCTTGTTTATACGTGTATCTGTGCACATCTCATGGAATATTTCTATGCTAACTTGTGTAGACGTTAGTCTTCAGTCTACGTGTAGGTTTTAACGAGTTAACAGTGCTCCGTTTTTCTTAGACGTTAATAACAAGATGGAGGTGTCAGAGGAACACATTTGGCATAAAATGCTTTATGAATTTAAGAAAGGGAATAACGCGACTGCAGCCACGAAAAACATTCAAGATGTTTTTGGTGAGGAAGCTCTAAATGCAAGGAAATGCCAATGGTGGTTCCAGAAATTCAGGTCTGGCGACTACAGCTTAGCCGATGAAGCACTTTCAGGCCGACCTGTTGAGTTCGATGATGACCTGCTGATAGCCACACTTGAAGAAGATCCTGCTGTAACAGTTGAAGAACTTGCCCAGAAACTCAATTAGACTCATTTCTCCGTTCATTGCTGCTAGGAAACGACAGGAAACAACAGCTGGGAAAAGTGTCAAACTTGAAAAGTGGGTTCCACATGTGTTGTCACCAGACAATCTTAGAGATCTGGAAAACATTTGCGCTTCACAGCATTCTCGTGAACTTCAAGCGCCGTTTTTGAATCAACTCATTAGCAGGATAATCTTCAAGTGTGGCTATCTGTAGGTCATCATCGAACTCAACAGGTCGGCCTGAACGCACTTCATCGGCTAAGCTGTAGTCACCACACCTGAACTTCTGTAACCACCGTTGGCATTTCCTCGCATTTAGGGCTTCCTCACCAAAAACATCTTGAATGTTTTTCGTGGCTGCAGTCGCGTTATTCCCTTTCTTAAATTCATAAAGCATTTTATGCCAAATGTGTTCCTCTGACACCTCCATCTTGTTTTTAACGTCTAAGAAAAACGGAGCACTGTTAACTCGTTAAAACCTACACGTAGACCGAAGACTAACATCTACACAAGTTAGCATAGAAATATTTCATGAGATGTGCACAGATACACATATAAACAAGACACAAGTTTGGCAATGCGAAAAAACCGCATTACTTATGGGATGACCTGATATATTGGTCTAGAATGGCATTAGTAATGACATAGCTTTACATATTGTTGGACCTCATTTTCTAAAACTCTTACCTGCTCCCCACCTCATATGAAAAAAAAGTAAATAACAGCAAGAATATCAGATATTGAAAGCATACTGATAATGCTGATCTCTAATAACCAATACTGATAAAATATCATTGCAGCCCTAGCATGTATGACTGACCCTCATTATTTGAGATGACCTGTACAGGGCAGACTAAAGTCAGTTCTCCCTCCCACTTCTGGAAACTCCCTAAGGAAATGGCTTACTCCACAGTGATGCTCCATTTTTTGGGGTAACACTATAGTATATCCACCCAGATTGGGACCTGTAGTCGGTAATCATATAGGGTAGAGGCACCAATTTGTGGACCGGTTAAGGAAATTTTCCTTGTGAAAATTGTGTTATGGTCGTTGGGGTAACCAAGAAACCGATTGATTGGTTGCAATAGGAGGCCACTTATCATAGTTTGATGCCAATCCCCTAAAATAAAATATTAAAAATATACTTTTCCAACAATTGTTGTTTAAATGGATATGTGTTGATATTCCTATTTGTTCCAGTTTGTGGACACCAGTTTTTGTCAACAATTATGAATGTGCATAAGTCGAATAGAAAAATATGTGCATGAGACATGTACAGTAATTTTATTTATCTTCAATGATGTCCTATTAAGAAATATCATTAGAAAAATTCAGGGGAGCTAGGTCTAAAATTGAGCAAAACTGTCCAATTTCATTCATGCTGATGGGTGTGCATAATTTATATGGTGCTTAACAGGCAAGTGCAAAATATGGAGCATTTGAGGAAATAAATTTTTGGTGTGAATTTTGTGAAATGGCAAAAAATGCAAAACTGTCCACAAATAGGTGCCCATCCACAAACTGGTGCCTCTACCCTACTGAGTGAAAAATTAATAAATAAGAAGTCCTGTTCCTTCAGTCTCTCCTGAGCATGACCCTAGGGAAATTGAATGGAACCATCAGGGGAATAAACCATTTCTGGGTGATGGAGAACTTTGTTATTAACCCTTATTTGGACAAGGGACCTATTGGACCCCCCCAGGGTATATTTCATTTCATTACTCTCTGCAATTTTTCAAAATACTCTTCAAATTTGATACGGGTTTCACAGACAATCATCCATAGATTCAAAAACAAATTTTAAAAGTTTGGATTTGCTTTTAAGGAAAAAATTCTAAAAAATGTTTGGCCTAGCCCATTTGTGTCACAAAAATACCTTGCCCAGATAAGGATTAAACAGAAGTAACCTATGGAAAAGCAAAATTGGTATCTGATAAATTAACTGAAGGAAAATCCTAGCTAAAAGAAATAATTTTTATCTTTGAGGAATGTTCACCCTGACAACCTGACAAAAGTGGAGACATGCAAAGATCAGAAAAATTCTTCAAGTTTTTCAGCAGACTTGGAATCCAGTATCCAGAGAGTGTTTTTTGAGGACTGCATCACTCGATGTACTGGGAGATTCTCCCCCCCATCACCAGGGCATAATATCCTCTATGAACAAGAAAGAAATAGTCCAAGTGATACCAATGACTCAAAAAAAAAGATGTTTTTGAAATGCCAATCCTACTTTGAGAATGTCTGCCTTGCCACCTCCAATGACAGGAAAAATGCATTTTCCTGCAGCCCAAATTGCAGGCAAAGTGAGAGTAACACGTGATGGTGGTGGTTTGGGGGAGTCAGAGATGGGTGCCACCCATTTGGATGCTTCATCAAGGAGGGGATGACTGGGGAACAAGGATGCAGTGTGACCATCTTCCCCAACTCCCAATACAAGAATGTCAAAATGGGGCCACTTCAAGTCTGAGCATCCTTTCTCAGATGACATCAAGGAATGAAGTTTTTGCTCATAATCCCTGGCAGCTTCATCCACTATGAAAAGAGAAAACAACTGAGAACAAGTTCAGGAGACCTGCATCAGCACAGGATTCAGAGGAAAAAAAGAGCAAACCTGGCAGAGAAGTGTCCACCTTAATGAAATTGTTCAGGAGAGTTGGATTGCTATTCTGCAGATACTTTGCATATGCAGCATAAGTGGACTCCTCATGTGTACTGGGTACCAAACGTTCGTCGCAGAAAGCAACCCGCCATCGGCTCCAGTCACTCTGTATCTTTGTCACTGCTTCACATACCAGCTTTGCTGCTGAACCTCCTGAAACAATCGCCCATGAATGCAAGACTTATTGTTATAATGAGTGGAGGAGATGCCAATTATCTTACCAGACACACCAATGAAGAAACACACAGCAGGCTCTTGCAGGACTTCATTGGCTGATTGCTGAATTGTGCTTGCAAGGTAATTGATCACTTCCACTTCATCAGCAAAGATACAAACCTGCCTGTTTTTAGCACTCATTCTGTTTCTTGATATGAGAGAGAAATATTTTGAGATAACCTGAAAGGCCAGTAAATAAATTTCCACTTTTTGTATCACCAGGTACAATTTTATTGAGTACTTTCACTCCCAGTTTACCTGTTGCACCATAAGACTCCAACATTTTATGAAATGTAAGACCACATGGTTCAACAGGCTTATCCAGCTGTCCTTCAATGAGGAGCTGTAAGCCTTTCTGTTGACTGAGTGACACTTGAAAGATAAGATTTTGATGACCATGTTGGGATTCATTTTATTGCTGGAAGTCACTTCTCTGCATAAAACCAACACACAAGTTTATCACAGCAACCTATAAAAATCACAAGCACCTAAAACAAGAAATTAGGATTCTGTCTTTGCAAGGATTAAATTCACTTTTATGGACTTCCTAGCATAATGGCTGATCCTCATTGCATGAATCATTATTTGCATCTTAAATTTCATACCAGACACACCAACAGCAAACAAAGTTTTAAAAAAAATGCAAAAAATTGCTATCATAAATAAGCCCAACACCAAAAATACAAATATATATGCCCGAACTTCTTGTCCTACAAGAAAAAAGATATGGCATTCCCATTATCTGGCCTTCTTTTACATGAATGTAATCCCCATCGTTCACTGCATATTCCAGAAAACATCAGCAAGAATACAGATCTTGATATTTCCTCTCACGATATTAATGACACTAGAACCATTCAAGAAACAGCTTCACTCTATCCTTTACTTACTGACAGCACAGTACTGAGAATGTTCAGATGAAAATGTTGGATGTGGATAGGACTGAATTTCAACTAAGTTTTACTTATCTTTAATGTTAATCTTTGCTGCAGGCATACTGGTACATGCTTTTTTGCCCCTGACCACAGTGGACAGATTCTCATAAAAATGACATGAAAATTGCCTAAACCACCTACACCATCCTCCATTCAGCTCTGTGTTATAGAATAATACACCTGCAGTGGTCAGGGGCAGGCAAAAAAGCATGCACAGGTACATTTGTGGATGCAGATGGGTTAACCTGAAAAATGGTTTTCAGATTCAACCTTTCACGGGCCATTTGCTGCCAAATGAGAGGTGACAGCAAACAGACAAAATGTCATATTGCATGGGTATGAAAACAAAGTCAAGTCACTTGATCCTATAAATTATTCAAAATGCGTTATTTTGAAATAAACTGGCAGCAGAGAATATATACTACAAAATCCTACAGTTTGAAAATTATATGCTGCAATCAAGAATCTGCATGCACATGAGCTGGAAAGAGTGAAACTGAATGGCCTAAGCCTTTTGAATAAAAAATACAATAAATAATGCCATCTTGCCTTGATGCAGGTTCTCCACAACACTAGGGTTCAGAACCATACAAATGATACTGTCACAAAAGAGAGACTGAGATCCATGAAATGGAATGTAAAAGATGTTAAAGACAGATCAAATTTATGAAGGTGAGATTTCTCCCTTATTTCAGACATTAATTCTTGATTCCCTTGTGCTATGCAATTGAGTCAGATTCTACAGGGCCCATCACAAGATTTCAACAATATAATTCAAGTTAATATCATGAGAGTTTCAGAGATGTATATACTAATAATATAAATCTCCAACCTCCACATATTAATATTCCCTTTCAAAAGAAACTATAAAGTATTGGAACTAACTACTTATATCTAGGAAAGAAAGCAGAGTATCCTACATATTGCTACTGCCAGGATAGACCACACTGACACAAAGAATGCACTCAGAATTGATGATTCTCTCAAGCATATAACATTTTTTCCTGATTCATTTGTGGGAGCTAAGACAATGAAAAGTGTTTTTTCCAATTCCCATTTAAATGGGTAAAGATGAACATGATGCAGCATCTTGGGACTGTGCCAAGATGCTGCCTCATCAAAGAATATCAAAATCATGACTAGATGGCTTCTGATTTGAGGAATACCTTGATGCCTACAAGTAGTATACTTTAAAAATTAAAGGCAGTGGGAGTACAGAGAATATAGGTGATAATCAAAATTGGTGATAAATAAGTATCCCTACTGTGAATGGGTTGTTTGGCTCTATAATTTATTGAAAAGCAAATGGGCACACTCATAAGACCCTGAGAATACAAACAAAAATTAGGAGTAGTACCCACTATCATCTGACGGACATCACACTTTGAAAGCTTCTAGCTTTTACTCAAACAAAGCAAATTTGTATATATGCACTTCTGCTACTATGCCACAATTCAGACTCAACTGTACATGGGGGTCCTACTTGTGCAGCCAATACAAGAACGAACAGCAAGGCATTGAAATAGTAGGGGGAAAATATATCAGATTCTCTGCCCAAACAGGCCTAGCTGCACTGTGGTCGCTGTCTCTAATGGTACTTTCACAAATTTAGTCACAGTCCTGAGCCTGAGTAATAGCTGTCACATTATGATTGATTTTAGAAATGGGATCTGCACAGAATGACAACTTAAAAGTGAGCATGATTGCATGGTTTCCTCTTGGGATGGGAAAATTATTTTTCAATAACAGGACATCTGGGGATTCATGAGACTCATCATGTTCCACGAAGCTTTCTGCATCAGCTTGAAGTGTTACCAAATATGCTGAACAGACAGCTGTGTTAAACAACTAAGCAGCAGCAGAACGGCTACAAAGCCTTCGTCCAAAACAAGAGATTGGTGACATGATAGTTTCATTGAAGACAAAAAAGGAAGTATAATTCTAAGAGATGCCCTAATTCTAAAAAAAAATACCTATTGCCACCATACACCCTGCTCTACAGTTTCATGTAGTTCTCTAAACTCTAACAGGAAGTGAATAGTGTAACTGCTTTTACCTTTCTCTAAGGTTATTCATGTAAATAATTAGACCATACAGGGTGGGCTAAAGAAAAGTTATTTTTAATTTGATTGCTACATTTGTACCTATTTAGATGTGCTCCTGCAACTTTTTAGAATAAATGGTGATTCTCACCCCTAATTAAATGCAGTTTATTTCAAGGATATACTGCAAATACCTATTAGGATGCAAAGAAAAGATCACAGTTGAATGCACATTATTTGGTTAAGATGCAAGATATTATAAATGTATTAATTTCAATTAAGAATAGGTGAGGGCATAAGATAAGATTTAAGAGCATAGATTGCAATAATCAAAAATAAAATTAAGAATTAAATTAACCTAATAGCTACTGCTGGATGAATGAATGTTCAATGTGCCCTCCTTCCTTCTATGAAAAACAGTCAGCTTAGTATGGTACTGTATTGTTGAAATTTAAATTGATCCTTGAAATCAGATGAGTGTGTCTTAATAAGTAAGAATGTATCAATCAATTGAAAAAAGGTGAACTTACTTTTATCCCAATTAGCAGATTCACTTCATGCTTGTGATCTCCCAATATTAGCTCAAGTTCTGCAAACAGGCTCTCAATCTTTATACATGATAAGAAATGGGGGGAAAGAAGGAAACGGCAACAATGCATATGCTTTGTTGCAGTATTAGATAAACTCAAGGCTCACATTTATCACGCGATTCATCACCTGTGCCTATTAAATTTCAATGAGAAGCACAGCTATGGGCAAGAATAGCCAATTGAGGGCATTGCCACTGGAAGACAACACAAGATGGACAGAGCCATGATCACCCAATTAAGGCACAATTGGTGAGATAGAAAAACTCTTATAAATAAATTCAATAAACCCAAACATTCTGGAATCAAATTCCACTTCAAAATTTTTAGCAAAATCTTATAAAGAGGCTGCCAGCAGTTAGGATAATTGAAACAAGATTGAAAGTGAGATCTTAACCACCCAAAACTACATCATAAGCATGAGAGTCTGATCATGAAATATGACTGAACACCAGGAGGACTCCCAGTCTTGTGTTTGGAATATCACAAATAACTAAACTGAAGATATCTAACTGAATGGCATCATGGCAAAAATGACTTCATAAGTCCCTGTCGTGAATGAAATCCTCATCATCGTCATTATTCACATCATCTGGTCCTTGGCTGAATTCATTTGTTGTTCCCTGATCTGAAGGTTTTTTGTTGGCCCGCTTTCTTTTGGTCTTAATATCTGACAACCGTTCATATGCCTGTTGGATTTCAATGAATTTCTCCTGAGCCTTAATCTTCTCTTCTGGATCTTTATATCGGTCTGGATGATATTTGCGAGACAAGGAACGATACTGGGCTGTGATGTTCTCCTGAGAAGCACCTTGGCTCAGCTCCAATATCTAGGATAATATTAGAAAAATGACAACAAAAAATACTCCATTATTTAGAAGCTTTAGTTTATTACAGTCTCTACCTAGTCTGAAGGGGCTTACCTCCAGTGCTTTCTTCTCTCCTAAGGGATCTATGGAGTTGATAATCTCTTCATAGACACGAGACCATCCATGCAACTTTATGACTTCATAGATGCGTAGTAGTTGAGTTTTCATATCTACCCAAGCTGGAGAATTGAGGAAGTTCTGTAGAGCATCACGGCATTTTGTTGACACACCTGAATTGTCTCTCACTTCACAGTTGAAGTACAGGAAAGATACCACCAACCCATAACTAAATACCACAACCACTGCAGTCTTCAGGAGTCTCCTGTGGTTGGAAAAATAATTATCTGGTAAAGCAGCTAGAATTTTTTTAAATTATAGAGAAAAATCCCAGGAGAAAATGAAAAGGACAATTAAACCAAAAAATTTTCCAAAAAAAAATACTGAGCTTACTTTCTTAGTGATCCCTTGGGCTCTTTGACTCTTCTCCATTCCTTTGCTCTCCAGTTGAACCCAATAGTTGCAGACAAGGCAGCACTTGTGATTGCTCGATCATGGAATCCATTCAATGTGTACAACAAGTATGAAGAAATTAAAGGCTTCATGAAACTTCCCTGCTGATTCCCAATATTGCCAACTGTGTGCACAGCTAGAGGACCAAAGTAGAAGTGCATGGAATAAGAAAATATCATCTGTTTCCTTTAGTGACTCTGAAAATCAGCTTTATTTCAATTAGAGAGGCAGTAAATATATATTTTTTGTGCCTGTAACAAAACCAACCTGCTGCCACAAAGACTGGTGCAAGGAGGCGTAAAAAGCTGATATCTATACCAAAGATGGGATCTCTGGGAACAGCAGCATTCCACCAGTGACCCCATACAAGGGCAAGAAATAGCTCACCCCCAAATCTTGACAGACTGAATGGGGGCTGAAAAAGAAAAGAGGAAACCACCATGTAGCTTATAATCACGGAGGTAGGAGGTGTGTTGTTTTGGAATAGATCCAACTATTTACAATGCATGTGTGACTTGAGGTAATCCCATGTCAATTCAGCTCTTCGTATATTCATAAATACTTACATAAGGGCTACATTTAAAATTTTTCTGCAAAAAAATTCTCTGGAATGAATAAATTTACTTCCCACACAATTCTTATACAGTTGCCTACCTACAGATATGCCTGTAAGCAACTAAATCAGCAGTGTTCAAACTTTTAAGGGGGGGGCCTCATGGATGCTTTGCTCCACCTTGAGTGGGCTGCACAAGTAATATTAGTCAACCTGGAGTGGGCCACATTGAAAAAGATCCAACATTTCTGCAGTTACCTCTTCAACTGGCTGCTCAACTTCTGGGTCAAGATGCTTTAAGCCAGGCAGTTCCATTTTAAAAATGAGCAGCAATCCAAAATTACCTATTCCTGCTGCATCTACACACACTTAAACTTCTCACAGTCACTGGAACTACCTCTACTTTGAATCATGGCTCATGTAAATGCATTGGTTAAAGGTGCTACTTTGTTACAGGTTGTATATTCAATAAATGATTTTTTTTTCTCTAAAAATTTCACAATCTACCTGTGAGGTAGGACATTTTTCTTTGCAGCATATGAATGCTCCAAATATTAGGTAACTTCAGAAGGTGTATGCCTAAATACATAAGCAACTAAATTTAAACATGTATAATAAGTATCTGAATATATAAACAATGACTAAACTAGCTAGTTTTGAAATATCCCAAATCTGGAAAAAAATAAGAAGTAATTGCAATCATCCATGAGTTCTAGTTAAAGGGTTAACTCTGAAAAAGTCAATTATCAGTCCATTGTAGTGGATCAGAAAAGCATAAACCAGGATGGACTTTGAATACCACTGATGTAAATGCTAAATATGTATCATCAATTCTGTTTCCATCACCAAAGAAGCTCAAGGGGATCTCAACTACAACTAACTATTACTATATTATTCGATAGGAAAGTGAACAACTGGGAAATCACCATAGACAAATGGACGACATGCTGACAACACCAGAGTTTAAGAAATGGAGGAATTTTATCAATCATGGATTTAGGATCTCCTTGTTCCATCTCCAAATACACTATATTAGTATACATTAATCTGTAACTGAGAAAGAAATCTCATATAATCCATCCACCCTTTGGGTTCTCACAATGTAGTCACACATCCCATAAGTGCTGGCAGTGTTCTGACTCTAGGGACTTTCACCAGAATCCTGTTCATGTTATAAGCAAAACCTAAGGAAGTGTTTTTCCTGCTGACAGGTAATTCCATGGAAAGCAATGGATTGCATTAAAATGATGAATGAACTCATAAAAAAATCACTGAATATATTAGTTCATTTCAAGGTCATAAAACAAGGCATAAGTCTGGGTTCCCTCACCTTTTGGTGCTTCCGCATTTGATGTGTGATTTCTTCAAGGTACTCTTCAGACTCATTCACTTCAGCTACATATTGTGGAATTTTGAAAAAATCTCTCAGGCAAGCCAAACCAAACACTCCTCCATATGATGTAAAAAGGACAAGAGCATGACGATCTCTTCCCAAATAGAACTGATGCAGCCCAAAAAAGCACCCAATGAACCAACACAGGTATGCAATAAAGGTGCTTTTCTTTTCCTGCTCCATTCTACAGACCAATAGGAAAACCTAAAACTTGAAATGGCACCCTGATTGCAAGAAAAGGATTTTGTGTATAATGCATGACTATTTCTTCCATAGCCAATGGAGGTTTAGAAGTGTAACATTAGTCACATTATAGGCTTATATATAGGGTGGTTAAAAAAAACACTCTACCATTTTCTATGGGAGAAACATAGTTTCATAAATGCAGCATAAAAAATTGGATATGCGATCGATACTTGACAATTACAAGGTGGCGAAATGCTTGCCAGCTTTTATTTGGCACTCCATCTAAGTGGTGCAATGTCCATTTAGAGATGAGTTAAAGATGCTTAGAGGTGGATCACTCCACCTCAAGTGAAGTGATCACCTGTGCTCAACTGTCTCAGAATTCAATGAACTTTCAAAATTACCTTTTCAAGGGACAGTTGGATCCAGCTGATACTTGATAGAGAGGTTCATGAGTCTAAGGTTTTTTTCAATTCAGCAAGATGGCACTGTATCCCAGGGGAGGGTGCCATGGTTGACAGGGGGTGATTAAAAAAGCTCCACCATTTTCGAAGGTGAGAAAGTACAATTCATGAATTTGAGTAAAAAATATAGGATTCATGAACTCTTGATATTGGACAGTTGGAGGTGTAGAAAAGATTGTCTTTTTTCTGAACAATACTCTGAGCTATGTATTGCCCTGTTACACAGTTGGTGGAGCATTACACCTTGTTTTTAAATCACCCTTGGTACCTGGTCAACAACAGCACCCTCTATGGGGATACAGTGCCATCTTGCAGAAGTGAATAAAAACCTCTTAGGCTCATGAACCTCTCTATCAAGTATCAGCTGGATCCAACTGTCCCTTGAAAAAGTTCATTGAATTCTGAGACGGGTGAGCACAGGTGATTACTTCACTTGAGGTGGAGTGATCCACCCCTAAACACCTTTAATTCACCTCTAAATGGGCATTGCATAACTTAGAGAGGGGTGCCAAAAAAAAGATGGCAAGCTTTTCTGTACCTTGTAACTGTCAAATATCGATCATGTATCCAATTTAATTTTTTATGCTGCATTTATGAAACTGTGTTTCTCCCATAGAAAACAGTAGAGTGGTTTTTTTTTAACCACCCTATACTTTGGTGGGATACCTCAGTAGTTATCCTTCCTTTTGGCTCAGAAATGTATCCACAAATTCAAAAAATTATTCACAATGAAATCAGTGAGTTATATGGCTAGGGGATGAATATAAGGCCTAGAATAACTATATTATAATTATAATATACTAAGCAAACTGAAATATTCAGAATAATATTTTTCACATGTGACCCCAAAAATCATACCATTCAGGACCCCAATCACTGGCCAAAGTTCAATACGCTCTCCCACCTATGTGTTAAAATAGCAAAGAAAAATATAACTTGGTTTTAGCTGCCAATTCATGACCCCAAATATGATCTTAGTGACCCCAGGGTTGGGAAGCCATGACCTAGAACCTTTAATTAGCCTATTCTGACAGACAGAGGAATAGTTTCACATAGCTTGACTTTTCAATAAGCTAGTGCAAAGTAACAAAGTCAGGAAAATGAGAAACTTTCAACATGGCAAATGTACCGGTGTTTATCAGCAGTCACAATTTTTTAATGAATTTCTTGCAGCTGAAACATATGCATTAGAATCATAAGTTGTTGTTAAAGATGATGAAGGTCATGATTTACTTGGTCACGGACATGATCATAAAATGATTTCAGTGACTTTTCAGGCTATTAACATGGAACCCACAGTTTTGTGTTACCCCCAGGCAATAGCAGAACTATCAGCTCCTTTTAGGGACATGTATGTGAGCTATTGCTTACACCTGAATGGGTGATGGGTACAACTAAGCTGGGTAATGGTTAAGTGCATACTATTTAGAGAAATTGCACTCTCCCAGTCTCCAATGTTTTCAGCTGAATTCAACTGGAAACATGCCCCATCCATTGGGCTTCCTTTTATTCATAATAAACACGAACCTAACCTATCCTGGCCTAATTTTGGGAGCAACACAATATCCCTAGGGGGTATGCACCTAGCCATAACCACTAACTTAGAGGGTATCTATAAGTCATGTTTCCTAACATTTTATGTGTTATTCAGTTAATTTGATCACAGCACCAGATCCACGCAGGGAAGTGAAAAGTCAATCCAAATAAAATTGCTGCATCTGATATAACCGCAATGACTAGTTATGAGAGAATTATAAGAATTTATAGTTTATGCCTAAGTCGAGGCTTAATTTATGGGGGGAAAAGCCTAAACTAAGTGGATGCGCAAAAAGTCATAACTAGCCTACCGATGTTTTGCCAATGGTAATTTCGTAACACAGGCCTATGGGATGCTAGGCCTAGCTAACAAGGGAAAGAACATGCTGTAACCTAGTTTTAGACATAAACCAAATTTAAGGCGTGGTTACTCAGGAACGCGAGTAGCCTGGGCCCAGGTCAGAGCCTGCATATCATAATGTTTGCCTCGAGGGTCGAGTTCTATTACGATCTTGGGTCAATACAAGTACTCAGAACATTAGTCACTACACTACGACTGTCCCGCTACGCTCCACGATGCACAAGGGTCATGCACATGGCACTAATCCGGCATATGGATGCAGCCATAAGCAATAGCACGTGGCAGGCAGAGTTGGCATGCCAGTGCTTGTACGTCCTCCTCCATCATGCGCATGCCACCTTCGTCTCAGACTATGGTCAAATCAAATCCAACTGCCAATCAAATCAAATCAAATTAAATGTCAAATGCGACATTTCACTGTCGGGTGGCGAAGTTTCTGATGCCAGACTGCATGGGACGTCCAGAAGAAGCCTGACAGTTTTGGCTCCGCTTTGGCTGTGCGCAAGAACGATTTCCAAGAATTTTCTGCCATGGCGCCTTTTCATTCGAGCCCGACATCAGTTTACTTCTCTTCTCAAGTGTGAGTTTCGGAGTAAGTTGGAATCTTTTCCAACTTACCCAGAACGTTTGAACTGGTAAGCATTCTTCCCAGTGGCGCAACCAGCTCAAACGTTTGGGGGGGGGGGGGGGGGGGGGCACCAAGG